ATAGTAATCACGCTGAGTTAATATCTTTTGCTGAAATCGAGCAGCCTTTAGAAAAATTCGACTAAATTATGTCTAAATAGAGGCTAAAACAGCAAGCATTTTATAAAAAAAAAACTAAATTAAACTTTGATTATATTATGTCTTGTAAGGTATTTTTATAGCAGCATAGTATCTATTACTTTGAGAGTATTAACATATATGATATTTCGATGTATGTAGGTGTTAAAAAGATTGTTTTTAGTTATTTATTACGCAATGAGTGTATGTGTAGTACCTCAAGTGGATTGGTCTAAGAAGGTGCTTGTTAAGTGTGTGGATGTCGGACCCCAATAATATTTAATGTTGGTACTATGTAAACACACTTTTCACATATATTTAAAAAAAAAAAAATATTGGTCATCGACGGAATAATGTATGTAGATTGTCAAAAAGCTGGATTCAGTAATATGAAGAGAAAGAAAAGAAAATCAAATATGAAAATTTGATTTTTTTTTCTAAAGTATGCCGAATGTTTGCAACTTTGGCTTAATACAATGTAGTAATGAATGTTTTTATTAGTTCCAAAGTTTTGCACCTTTTTCTGTATGAAGAATATCTATTTATTACGTCTATGTGTATCGATACTCGTATTTTATTATTAACAATCTTGTTATTATTAATCATGAAATTATTAAAATCCATAAACACGTACCACGTACCAATTGATTTAGTAACTCGTAATAATCTTGCCATTGTACTTAACGAATACAGTAAAATGGGCTTCAGTTACAAATAGTGACGCGTCGATCAAGCCCTGACCAATCAGGTTCCAAGATTTCGTACGAAACCGATTGGTCAATGTGTGGGGCTATATCGATGCGTCACTATTTTCTTAACGCGAATAGACTATAGTAATTTTACCCAAATTAAATATGTCTGGTTTCTGGCTAAAGCAAAAATAAAATTACAGCATACAAAATAGTCTGTTAACAAGTGTAACAATATAAAAATAGGAAGTTTGTGGTGTAATATATTTTTATCTCGATTGTGTCTATAACATAATTTTTAAATTCGAAGGCATTTTGTCTTTGGCTTTTTCATCTTATTCTCAATTTGCGTAGCACTGAGAAAGATATAGGTCTCTGTTACGCAACGGGGTAAAATACTCTTAAAATCTGTGGCTATTTAAATGTGTAGATTCAATTTGCGCAGTTTTTAGCTCCTTTTTATTAATTATACGAATTTATGTCCTCAATCCTAATATAATAACACTTGTGTTGTTTCACATTAAGGTGGAATTGGCTTGGCACGTTTGCTGCACGAGATTCTTACCTAAAAGTGGTGGTATCACCACGTTATGTCGATCGTACAGTCATTTAATATCACGTGACATCATAATATGTGTAAGTCAATGTTATATGTTTCTTATGGTTAGTTCAATTGCTTCTTATAAATACGTGCTTATCTGTGGCTAGAGTTCGATTTTTGAATGACTAAATCTTTTGGGTCATTTGAACACCATTGTCACATATGAGTCGTCTAGTTTCAAATTCCTCTAAATCCAAGCAAAAAAATCCAGAAACTTAAAAAATTACACATTTTATAGATTGTTTTAACTGTATCTATGGCACTGAAGTATAGAGATGCGTTATATGGCTAAAAAAGTTACAAACCAACCGTCTCTACAAAATAATCGACCAAAAACAAGTTTGAAGTATTGATTTAAAGGGTTTTCCAAAGCAACTTTTATGAAATTTGAAACTAACCACTGGGAGATGGCTTTCGCCACCATACTAATAAACGTAACACGTGACCAAAATGTCTTGTTTCAGTGTTAGTCATTTAAAGTTCGAGAGCCTATCAACTAGAAGTAATGTGTAAAGTTTGTATGTGATCCGAAGTCATATCTGTAAGGGTCTCTGATCTATTAGCTGTCGTCCTAATATTAAAATGCGTCTAGCGAATTATTTCCCACATTAAATTATGCCGCGTGCATTTTAATTGTTCTTTCAATCGATAAACTGCAGATTATGTAACCATTTCATCTAGATTATAACCATTAGAGTACTTTTGATGACGATTTTAATGATGCCAGGTGCATAAAAAGTTTAAAATATTCTCATCCAAATACATAAATATGAAACCTTAAGTCAAAAGGTAAGCAAATATTAATTAATTTAATAAATAAAATATTCCCAATGTTTGTTTTAATTTACAAAAAAAGTATCTATGAAATTATTGTATAACACTATTTATTGACTACTAAATATGGATATTATTTCCAAATTGGCAACACTTATGTGCATGGTTAACGATATCTGTCACATTCAAATTTTTAAAGTTGTTCGGCGAGTGATTTTCCATTCCACGGTATGACATGAGGGTGAAAACTCACCGCAATATGAACGTACTGAATATTCGCTAGACGCGTGTTTATAACTTAACGTATGATATTTGATGTTTTAAAAATCTAAACCTACATGTAAATGTAAAAGTAGGGTTTGACTCTCTGTAGTATTAAGGCACTTAGGGCATTTCGAGGAGATACTAGAAGATTATTAACGTTTCAATGTATTTGAAATTATATATAAAACAATTGATCAAAGTATTTGTAGTCTTTTATAAGGTTGTTTGGCAGTGCGATCGTTGCGTTTTAAGATGAGGAAAAAAGGTTTATTAAAAAAATGATGTTCTAAATTTAAATCAGTAACGGTCACAATATCAAACAATATTTTGTATTCTAAATACATCTCTTGAACTGTTTTCACCTCTTTGTAAAATAGTGAAATAAAACCAGTTGAATAATGTATAGTTTTCAAAGTGTTTTGCACTGTCTCGGTTTGTCAGGGTGATGTTGGAGTGTTCTTTGTTAACTTTGTATCAGACTATCTGCCAAAACTATTATCAAAGAGAACCCTACAATAGTGTACAAATATATTCATTTTGTTGTAACATTTTCCCCACCTTCCTGCAATCTGTGGAATTGACTTCGTGAAAAGGGACGGAAATGTGTAACAAAAACACTGGGAAAACGCGCGCTATTTGTTTTTAAGCAATGTGAGCGCTCGGTGCTAGAGGTGCCTGTCGGTCATCAGGTGTTACCTATCAAATACGAATACTATAACGCTCGCTCATTTTTTAAATATATTAGTGCATTTTTTTTTCATAAATTGCTTAAGAACCTCAACAATACAACAAAAATACTAATAATAATAATAACCGGCAAAAGTTGTTCTGCCATATAAATTATATAAAATCGCGTTTAAAAATAAGGGGTGGGGGTAGGAGTGTAAAAAAATCCTTACGACCTATTCTCATATCTTCCAAAATACAAAAAAAAAAAACATTAAAATCGGACGAGCCGTTTCGTAATAGTGCGACCACAAGCACCATGACGAGATATGTTAATCTCAGGTAATAAAATAACAAATCTTACACAATGACGACAACTTCCGTTACACAATGTATACATCAGAAGTAGGGCCTCTCTGGTAAAGTTGAAATTAACGAATGTCTTTGATACTTGTTGGTACTTGGTGGATTTAGCAAATGTTGCATGTTAAGACAGTGTCGAACGCTTCCTAATAGTCAAAAGTGTGAACTGTTTGTATAACAACAACTCTTAAGTGTGCTATTGGAATAGCTATGTACACCCTGCAAATAAAAATAGTTCCAATGTGATTGTATTTTTATTTCTTTTTTACTGATTTTATTTCCTTAAAGTTAATCACGTTACGTATCACACATACATGTACACACACACACATGTACACACACACACACACACACATTTAGTAGGCAGTGGACTAGATTTAAATATATGTAAAGTTATTAGTAACTACTTGTTTTGCTAAAAAATTGGTTGCCTGTAAAGTCGGTATACGGGCGAAAGTTTTACGTGACAACGACTTTGAGTGGTAAAATAATTTTGGCGGGCTAACTGTGCTCGAGTGGAAGGGACGCGTGCCTTTCACTTTTTATGTCTGTCTCTCTCGCTCTTAGGCGGGCTAACCATGCCCGAGTGGAAGGGACGCGTGCCTCTCACTCGCTCTCATTGTGAGCGCATAACGTGAGCGGAGCGTAACGCAGTTTCTTGAAGTGTCACCCGGCAAACCAATTTATAAGACGTTGTCACGTCAAAACAGAATTTATAAACTCATCTTGGGATTTTCAGTTGTAATAGTAGCTTACTAACCTACAGAAGAACAATATGACTGCACGTATGAAGTAGTGGTTTCAAGCGGTCACCTCGGCGCTTCCTACTATGCTGAGTGTTGTGGATTCGATCCTCACATGGGACAACACTTTGTATCCACGAGTTATTATTCCGAGTCTGGGCGTGCTTTGTGTCCGTTTGTCAAGTAATCATAAAAAATCGTGTGTAAATATCAAGTTAGTGGGTATACAAATTAATAAATAACAATAATTTCTATCAATATTTTAATGTACGTATCAAGCGTATGTTATCACAACACTAAGATTCGTTTGACTAGCAATTTGGAGTCGTTGAGGGTAATACATTGCGTATATAAATAAAATAATAAATCGTTTCTTTAAATGCATTGGTTCTCAAGATATAAGGATGTAACTGTTTACAATAAAAAGTTTACGCAGAATAGCTACCTATTATATCATGTTATACTAAGGATATTGGCGTAGGCACCGGGTATCTCGCAAGCGAAGTACTTACGTACGCCTTTACTAGTCCACTGCTGGACATAGGCCTCTACATAGAAAGTAGGTTTTGACCTACTACACCACGCTGGCCAGACGGGTTGGTAAAGGGTTTGTTTCAAGTTTTCCTTTTCTTTGCAATGCTGTTAAGTACATTTTAACACACATAATTTAAAAAAAGTATGTCTAAATATCGTATTATTTTAAACTGTATGTAAAAGAGAATGCGCCGTGTACATTTCTATGCCGCATGTCCATGTGGCATGTTTTGAATTTTGTCATCGCGATTTGATAAGTTAGGTAAAACTTCTTGAAACAAAACGAGAAATATAAATAGGCAGAGAGCATTATAAGGCAACTACTTTAACGTAATCGACGAGCAGCTGCGGTTGGTTCCATGTGGAGAGCCAGGAGTCCATGTCTTCCCAGAAATGTAACATTGCTTTGCTGCCAGTGTTAGTCCAAGGCTTTGGCCGGCTGCCTGATGTTTGTACGCCATCTGGGAATTCTGTGATACTGCCTGCAGCTACCCCAAGGGTTAAATAGAACTGGAAATTGAAATTGGTAAATGAACAAACGAATAAAAAGCATATCTAATTTGACCGTTGGTAAATAGCTCCTCTAAAGAGGCAGACGACTATAGCGCAGTAATAGGTAGGTAGATTTTTTGACGGGCCTGTTGGTATAGTGGTTAGTGACCCTGCTGCTAAACCGGAGGTCGTGGGTTCGATTCCCACCCTGAACAAATACTTGTGTGATGAGCACGGTCGTTTGTTCTGTGTCTGGGTGTAATTTATTTAAAATATGTATGTATTTATAAATATATAAGTATGTTTATCAGCAGTCTGGTTACCGTTGCACAGGCTCTGCCTAGTTTGGGATCAGACAGCCGTGTGTGAGATGCGTCAAGTTTAAAAAAAGCAGAATATCTGTCAAGATAAAACTAAAGGCTTCTTGCCGTTTCAGAAACAGAGATCTGTCGAATTTGTCGTTTGCAAAATGTGAGAGCCGCCAACATACTGTTGACGAAAGTTCTTTAGGGAAATTAATGCTAAGAGAAAATATTTTTGAACAAAATAATACGTATTTACATGATCGTCAAATGGTGCCATTTTAGAGCCAGCAGCAAGGAGAGTTCGTGGCAGTTGTGAACAAGTTTGCGGGAAGCGCCCGGACAGTCCACTGGCTGTGGGTTCCACTCGCGCCCACTCCACACCATCCACTGACAGAGTTATACGTTCTGTAAAACAAATAAACTGGTGTAGAACGGTTTTCCTTTCGTAGCTTTTAATTATCTAAACCTAAAACCGTACATAGATAGATAATGTAGTAGATGACCATCAAAGATTTCACCCTCATCACATTCACAGTCTTTAATGGACATACGCCTCTCCACTTTACCACGCTGGCCAGACGGCACCCTAAATCTGTCTTATCATATTTTTTCCAACAAATGACAGTACAAAATAGTGTTCATTATAAAAGCATTAAGTTTACGAGTCAGTGTGTATCATTTCTTTTATCGCACTCAGGACATTTCATGATCCACCACATCGTAATGGATTTATTGGAGACCCACGCTGAACTTTCCAGTCTGTAATTGCCATTCAACTCAATATCCTTTCTTTCCCGAAGCTCCACTGTTCCAGGTTATATAAGTTGTCTACCAAAACGTCATTATAGAACCATAATTCATACATTTAATCTATGATTCTTACCTGGTGCCCATCGCAAAACATACTCATGGAAGTCATCACCCCACTGCCGTCCGCTGCTTGATGCCTTGTTTCCTAAGAGAGTGTCGTGACACTGGACATCCATGACCGGTCCTCCAAAAAGCACCTGCAATAAGATAAACATTAAATTAGTACCTACATTCCACCGTAAGTTTAACGTCGCAACCAGGCAGTTTAAATATTTTTACCTTCCTGATATTGATTTGTCGATCTGCTAATAATTTCTAGATACCATTTTATTACTTAATAATAATATGATAACAATATATTCTCATGAAAGTAAATTCTATAAATAATCGTAAATAAATAAACGGCAGACATTATACACAACTTGAATAACAGAATGTTTAGTGTTTCTAAATCGATTCACGAAAGAGGCGGCCCTTTTCCTCATCACCGCATAAATCATCCATCTATCATAGTATAATGAACGAGGTTTGATCTTTGTTTGCTATGTAAATTTAACTTGTAAATTTCATAGAGGTGATATTATATAGATTTAGTAATAGTAATTTTTCTTTAATCGCTGCTTTTATTGGTCTCTATCATCAAGATGTTCAAATCAATACTTAAACGGTTTTCCTACCTTATTTGAATAGTCTGTATAGCCACTGGTTAGTTCTCTGTTACCTCGAGCTGATGCTATCTTTATCACTCCCGAACTGTAGTGGGTGCTTCCATATTTCTTTAAAAACGGCTCGAGCAGGATTTCTGCAACATTGTACGACACGTTGTGTAAAAGATGATATATTTTAGGGAAAGTAAATATTTTTTTTAACTTTCATTTGGATTAAAAGATATAATTAAAAAGTAACGAATTAATTTGGACTTTAAATATTGTCTGCACAGATCTCGTAATGGCTATGTAGAGTGATTGGGTCGCTACTACGCCTCGCAGTATTGGGTTCTTCTTCCTCCGAACCTTTTTTCCAAACTAGGATAGGGTCGGCTTAAGTCTGAGCTTGGATTTTCGCGGTGAGCGACTGCCATCAGACCTCTGTAACCTAAGAACTAGGCGATTTCGAAATTCTGTAGAAAGACTGTTGTCGGAGTTTTTAGGGTTCCAACTACCCGTAACGATTGCCACAGATGTTCGAATGGCAACCTGGATTCATACATTTACGTACTCTCCGAGGCACGGAGGGGTCTTAATGTGTTAAGAATGGTCACCCATCCATAGACTGACCTAGCTAGGATTGCTGAACTTTGCAATGTATTAACAAACTCGGTTACTTAGTCATGAGTCTCTCAGTAGTATAACGTTCTGTAACCAACAAATAGTTGTGACCGTTGTTTGAAAGTTTTTTAAGTCCTCCACAATCTATGATGCAGTAACTACTAGTGAAGTTCTCCTTGAAAAATACAAGTGGGTCTACGAACAATAATTATTATTCGTAGAAGTGGCTATATTATTTTGGCTATATCATAAACTAGGACCAGTTTATGAAATGGTTCCATACATCAATGGTCAATTCTATGATCTGAAATAGGGATGGACGGAGATAATCCTGACCTGGATAAATCCAGTCTCCTTGCGGCAGTTTAGCTCTCACGTACACAGTTCCATATGTGAATGCGAAGGCTTTGGAGGTGATTCTGCCGCTGACGATAGGAGGAAGTATGCTCGCACCCCACGCATCCTTCATGCAGGCTTCCGCTGGAGCTGTACATCTGGAGACAAAATCAATTTAAGATCTGGATAGCTAAAAACATATTTGAAACTAGTACTGGGTGTTGCAGAATATGTCCTGAATGATTTGACGTGACGAAAGCGTCTATTGTTTAAGATGAAGATTTGACCATCATTATGTTGTCTGCTGTTGATCATTTGATCGATTTCCCTCCCCCCCCCCCCCAAGGCTGATTATATGATGAGCAAGATCGTTTCTTCTATGCCTGATGTTTATCTATAAATATTAAGTAAATTTGCTGACAGTCTGGTTAGTAGTAACCAGACCGTCAGCAAATATCTCTAAGCAGAGATTTCTATTAGATCTAAAACAAGTAATTTCTTACAATGTCTCAGTTCTACTTACCCACTAAAGAGGTTAAGGGACCCACTGTAGATGGAAGAATCAGTAAACCCTGGTAGCCTCTGCTGAAGTTTGGGTGCGATCCGAAGATTACCTCCAGTTACTGCTACCGTTGGGTCTTGGGACAAACGTTGATACGACACAAACGGGAACTCCTGCGAATATTAAGTACACTTTTAAATAAATCGAGTATATCTATGCATAAGAGTAATAATAGTTAAATAAAAATACTAAAATTATGAAAATGTCAACAGAATACTGCTTAGAAAACAACAACATTTCAGGAATAGGAAAGATAGTATCACATCATAGAAATACATTATTATATGACTGTATAACATAGTGTGTTACAGAAAATATAGATATTATTACCTATTCAAATTAATAAAAGTCTGTGCAAAATTGCTTTTGGTTTCGATTTTAGGAATTGTTTCGAATGTAATTCATTTTTTAACCACAAAAAATTTACGCTATCGACCGTAATACCTTTACGATTGGTATCTATCGTTATTAGAATAAAATATGCTAACAAGAAGACTTGTATTCCTCAGCAACTGCTAGTTCGAATATTTGTAACTCGACCTGACCTGCTTAAACTATTGGCTACTTCCCTTCCCTTCTAACTTTCCCTTGCCACATATTAAAAAAAACATCTTAAAGTGACCAACTCACGGCTATAGAATTTCCTCCTAATGCGCGAATGAGACCAAATAATTATTCGTAAAATGTAAGTGTTTCATAAACCTCTGTCTACTATTTTGGCTATATAGGCGTGAATTTAAAAAAATCGGACTCTAACACATAAACGCCATCTAGTTTCAAACTAAGCAGAGCTTGTACTATGAAAGCTATACTGACTAATAGAATACCTATATACTTTTATTTTTTAACGAAAACAACCAAACTCCGAAACAAATCATACATTATGGGTTTTAAATCAGTTACCAGTAATTTTCGTATTGTTTACATCTCGTGTTGTAAGATAGCAATGCTAAAAGATGGTATTTAAACCTATACTAATATTATGACGCAGAAGAGTTTGTTTGTTTCGTTGAACGCGCTGATCTCGGGAACTACTGAAACATTCTTTTAGTGTTTGATAGCTTATTTATGGAGAAAGGCTAGACTGTATAATATCACACTACGACCAATAATAGTCGTGCATATTGATATACGGCTCCTATTGGTCGCAGCGTGATAAATAAAATTTCCCCGTTTTTTTGGGGCGAATTTTTTTTTATTTTAAGTGACGCAGGCGAAGTGGCGGGGGTCAGCTAGTACCAGATACTTATTTTAATAGATGAACAAATATTACTAATTTTAAAATTGAAAGTGACTAATATACATAAAGGAATGGAAGAAAACTGGCTTAAAAGATCAGACAAGTCTTGCACTTAACCGAGCATCAAAAAGTACTGCAAAGGTTAATCAAAAATATTCATCAGCAAATAAAGCATTAAAAATATTTATGAAGTGTTGTAGCTTCATCATCATTTCTAAGAAACCGGTATTTTTTATTTCAATCACTTGCGAAAAAGTCCCCGGATACTGCTTAGTCATGAACCTGTTTTTGTTTAATTAACATTTGCTATGAAACATAATCTATATTACCTACTCAATTCTTTTAAAAGGTTCCTAGTACCTATATGTACTTATCAACAAAATATATAAACAACTGAATATCTTTTTTTTTCCGTATGAAAACCCGTTCTGACCTTACCAGAGCTTATATTGAACTAAAGATTGTTGGTATTGAACATTGGTAAAATTGCAATGACAAAATTATTTTAGAAAAGGAGAACCTTCTAAAAAAAATTTTATATTCAAATATAATAATTTGAGTGATCAAAAGAGAGGGCAGACTTAACTATGTTTAAAATCATTCTACTTTTGGCAGTGAAAATAAGATGCGTTCGATTTTTTAGCAACTTTTTTCTCTAGTGCCACTAATTCAATGACTAATGAATTCGAATGACGAGTACGCAAATAATTTATGTCGATATCAAAAGCACTAAGACATCAAATTTTATTACCTACTAGGTTTTTTTTACATATTTCGACTGTCACGTCTCTATTTACTTATCATCACCATATTTTCAGGCTTGGATCGAAACTGTAAAAATAGAACCTCTAATGTCTTGTTTCCTTCTAAAAAGCACAACACGTATCATTTTTTTGTGTAGGAGAGTTATCTTTAAATAGAAAACATTTAATAATAACGTCCGTGGGTAACGGATTAAGAATATAAAGTGTCAAAACCCCTGTTCATCCCGTGGGTGTCGTAAGAGCCGACTAAGGCAGCTAACTCTGCAGGACAATAGCACTGCAAAGAGAAGGAAAACTTGAAACAAAGCCTATACCAACCCGTCTGACCAGCGAGCTATCAAGCCAAGCCAGCAGGCCAAAACCTCTAGAGGAGAGGCCTATGACCAGCAGTGGGATATTAGAGGCTGTTGATGATGATGATGAGATAACTATTAAGTATTTATGCCTAAATGCTTTTCAGGAGTCTTAATAGCACTAACAGTTTATACCGTTGAATAAACCGGGATGTACTGTTCGATCTGCCAGACGTCTTCTCGGAATGTGTTGAAATTCTCCTCGAAGATCGTCTGTCCTGCGCATGCGACGCCACTGCGGAGTTTCGTAGCGGTTGGTCTGCAACTTGCAGGCGTAGTCACAGATTTCGTTCCTGTGCCGGAAGGATCTTCTAAAGCTGAAAATGAAAAAAACCCACTTATTCAAATAAATTTGTTTAATTAAGTTCAGTGTTATCAATATATAGATATCAAAAATCTCGATCATGATACATAAATATAATTTTATTTGGGTATAAGTAGACATATACTCGTACAATCTGCTATTTTGCTGAGCGCGCTATTTTTGGTATCTCTCAAACTAATAAAATTATGAACATATATAAGAAATAGAGACACAGTGCAGTAGGCACATATTCGATCAAGACATCACTATAAATCGATATTTTCAAAAGTTTGATGAAATTAAATTAGAAAAGATTAAAAAAATCTCCATCTTACTACTGACAACTGTTCTCTTTTATCTTACGAGTATTTACAGCGTGCTATTTTGTCAGTTCATTTCAAATGTGGATAAAAAATTAATGGAATTTCTTATTCCAAATCCAAATTTATTACAATCACGCGTGTATCAATCGTATAGCTTACAAGTGCTAGTCGAAATTATGCATTAGATAGCCCAATTTTTATCGAGGGCTAAACTCTATTTAGCACCACGCTATGACTCTTACCAGCAGAGCAGTGACCACAAACTTACCTGTAACGGTGAAACTTAAGTTGTCCTTAACATATCCGCCTCGGTTAGAGACCACTACAACGTAATAATTGATGACATCGCCAACTTTAAGTTCGACGTTGGGGTCTTCGAAGGTCCATCTGCCATCCTTCGCTTGGACAATTTCTCCTGTAATGGTCCCTATGTCCGATTTACTTATCGCTCTGTTAATGTTGCCTTGGAATACGAACAGGCTTACATTCGGAGAATCTGAAATAGTTCACATAAAAGGGTAATGAAGATTTGAACCAAAGTTTATTTTGTGCTTTGTACGAATACCTAGTTGTTTTTATATCAAAACTATTGCCAACCGACTGCAAAAGAAGGATAAAGTTCTTAATTCAAGCCTATAGTCCTGTTTTAAAACCGCCTTCATCTTCTCTCACGCGATTTTTCCACTTCAATATTTTTTCATTGAATTGTATGTTTTTACACCGTTTATCCCATTTAAATGAGAAGAAAATGAATACTGCACCCCTATGGGCAGAAAATTAAGGCATGTAGTATAAAAAAATTTTTAAAGGTTATTTATGTATTCCAGAAGTTACTTCACAGTACTTTTTTGTCATTGTAAAGAGAGTTAATTTGATTTTTAACAACGTTTTGAATATAATATTGGTTACAATGGATCATTAGTCGGTTCGCATTCAACATTATGAGTTTCTGAGAACTCAACTCCTATAAAATTATTTTTTGCACACGTTGTCAATACAAATTTAATTAGTATATAAAAAATAAATATTTTGCACTTGATAACTGGCTTTATTATAAGTACTGTGACCTCATCCACGTCAAACGAACACAAAGCTACTGGGAATTACTTCTTTCCTAGTAATATGTCTCAGAAATTGTTTTTTAAGTAATTAATTTAAAAGAACTTTATTAACTGGTTACAAAACAGTACGTAACAGTAGTTTTGATAATTTGTAAGATCATAGTCGTAAAAGATATCTAAAGTCGGACTGTAAAGTAATACAATGGATACATCAAGAAGGCAACTAGATAAAATAAAGAAGGATAATTACTGACCTGGTATTGAGGCTCTAAATCCTTTAGGCTTCAATGCTTGTACAGTTACTTGAGGCACTTGGTATTGTCCGTAAGTTATTTGTATGAAGAAAAAGATTACCGCGCAAACGCGCGCGCTGCTCTCGGCAGACATCTTGCTACTGGCATAATACGACTAACTATAATAACATGACAAAAGAATTTAACTGCATTTCAATGTTACTCGTGATTCTTGACGTATAATTATAATTTTTTATTTTCCGTAATCGTCGTATGTCAAATAGGTCTTCTCAGAATAAATTATCTTAATTAGTTAGTGATATCAATGAATTTTGATAAAAGGAAAACGAACAGCATTCGTTTTATTCAGTTTTAACGGTTGAATGACCGCGAAATTTTTGTGTAAACTTCATAATTATAATGTATGTTAATGTTATGTGTTTTTGTCTAGAGACCCAAAGAAAGTAGTTGCTTATATTCTGCGATTCCTTTTAAAGTTGAAAGATTTGTTTGATTGTATTTAATTTTAGATGTTTAGTTAATGGATATTATTTATCACCAATATAAAATTACTAGCTATTGCTTGCAGCTCCGCCTGCGTGTATGTCGGTTATCGCGGTAAAAACTAGTCTATGTTATGTCGCTGATAATGTAGCTTTCCATTGGTGGAAGAATTTTCCAAATCAGTTTAGTGGTTATTTATAAGATATAAGAGGTACATTTATAAGATATAAGTATAGATTTCAACTGCGCAAGAGTCACGCTTCGGCGTCTTCGCTTGGGGTCATTCTTTCGATGTATTTCAACAAGTGAATGAGGTTGCTGGAAGACCAAACCTCCCTCCCTGCTTCTGGTGGGAGCATTCAAAGACCGGCAACGTATTAGCGCCTTTTAGCGCTAAGGGCGCCATTTGTACATGGGCATTAACTTGGAATGAACCTGGTGTACAATAAAGATTATTCTATTCCATACGACGAGCAAAACAACGTTTGCAGGGTCAGCTAGTCATTATAATAATTGTATACCGAAACAACAACCGGTGCTCTAAGTGCACCAGGACCAGGAGGCTTATGTCCAGCAATGGACGTCTTTCGGCCGGGATAATGATGATGAAGATGAATAATAATAATCAATAAAAACTTTGTTTCTTTAGCAGATCGAAACTTCCCCACAAGTAGGGGAATTTACCTGTAAAATAATGTGATGTAAAAATAGTACATGTGTAACATGTTATGTTAAACATGTAATATTTTTTTATGGTAATATAGGGAGGCGCGCAGACGGTTCTAGTGATAAGTGGGTTCTAATGGTAAGTGGTACACATGGAAATTATTTTTTGTTTTAAATTATATTTATTTGATGAAATGATTGGTCACAGCGATTTCACATGTGATTGTGATTTCGTCCTAGACAAAGATCAAAGATTAAGACCTTTTTTTTAGGGTTAAGCACTTCGCGAGTCTTGCGCTAGCGTAATAATAATAATTAAGTAGCAATGGTTTTGTAAATCGGTCACGGGTGTGATGAAATATTTTTTGAATGTGATGGAGATTTTATTCCATTCCTAGTAAGTGGCTCCCGCTGACGTGGACACCTGCATATCAAGGATCACGGCATGCGTTGCAGCAATTTCGTTTGCGATTTGTCGACTGTGCGGATGGCGTAGTGGTTTCCGCGCCGCTTTCTACTACGCCGAGTGTTGTGGGTTCGATCTCCACATGGAACGACACTTTGTGTGATCTACAAATTGTCGTTCTGAGTCTGGGTGTCCTCTATATCCGTTTCATTTATGTTTGTAAAGTCCCCCGCGACATAGGATTTATTCCTAGTGCGACTTAGTAGACTTTAAAAAAAAAGTAGTAAGTGGGGCCCCCAGACTTACGGAGAGGGGGGGAGAGGTTCGATAATCTTACTCACTTAGTGAAAAGCAACAAAAGAACTGCTTAACACCGGTTTTCCGTGAGGCCCTGGTATTACTCCGGTCGAGCGTTCCCATTTGTGCTGAACCATGGCTCTCCTCGCTATTGTATGATCGTGTTATCTCTTGGTTTTGACTTCTCCAATTGTATGCTTTGTTAAACCGTTCTGCGAGAGTACATTTGGCAACAATCGTTAAACATTTAATTAACAGGAAGTTTATTTGAATATTATCATCATCAACTGCCTCTAATAGTCCACTGCTGGATATAGGTCTCTCCTTAGAAAACCTTTGGCCTGCTATAGCACGCTGGCCAGACGGTTTGGTAAAAGGTTTGTGGCAAGTTTTCCGTCTCTTTGCAGTGCTGTTGTCCTATCTAGTTTGCTCCTTTAGTCGGCTCTTACGACACCCACGGGATGAATAGGGGTGGTGACACTTTGTATTCTTAATCCATCACCACACGGATCAATGTGTGTTTAATTGAATATATATGCGGTATTTTTCTTTATACGTACAAACTGGTTTACAGTTACAGGAAAACATAAATAAAATGAATAATTTTGTTAAATATGTTTAATTTTATAACAGGTACTTAGTCTTCATTTCAGTAGGAAACCTTTGGACCTGAAAGCAGAAATTGTATATTTATAGTAAACTACAGGTCTAAATTAAATATAATACTTAATAATATCTCACACATCTCACGCTCGGCCGTCTGATTCTAAAATAGGCAGAGCCTGTACTATGGTAACCAAACTGCTGATAAACATACTTATATATTTTTAAATACATACAGAACAGTTGACCGTGCTCATCACACAATCATTTGTTCTGGGTGGGAAGTCACTAACAGGCTCGTCTGAAATATAATTTGTTAATATTCCTAGTTACATTTTATCTTCTTGGTCACCGAAAGTCCAGGGTTCTATTTTTGCCAAGAAGGTCAGAAATAAAAGTAAATGACTATGAGAAAAAGATCGTATATTTGTCTTATCATATTTTGCTCGACTTGGTTTTTTCTGTTCTGGGACACTGAAGCGCTCCCATATAATTATCATGAACTTGAAAATGACAAAGATGTTTTTATAATATTTGTAATAACACTTTAATAAGAACTCCTAAATGAATTATTGTAACCACAATTTTATACGTGCCTAAAATATTGTTTTCAATATGCGGTTTCACTGAACGAGTACACCGGGAATTTCCCGTTAATGACGGACCATCCGCGTCCGTGTCATAAAAAGTTACAAGAAAACCATTCGGAAATCCCCGAACTACACACGTGATAAAACCAATACTTTTATAACGTACCTATAACGCGTAAACCCTGACATAGTCAACTTGCAGTGCACTAGTGTCATCGAACCAGGTCGGGAACCACTGGTCTCTAGCGTTCCAGAAGTTCAGTACAGCCTTAGAGGCTTTATTCTTCCACGGCTTTGAAACTCCGTCAGGAAACTCATGCACACCACCCACGTTCAGGGCCAAAGACAAATAAAACTGCGGTAATAAAAAAACTTTACAGAATCAGTATTAAACACCAGGCCAGCTGATCTGATCAATACACAGTAAAACAGATCCTACATACAAACCCTCAGATTAAATATCAAATTTCGTCTGAAATCATTAAGCCATTTATGCTCATGGTCCGTGTGGTGACGGATTAAGAATACAGAGTGTCACCACCCCTATTCATCCCGTGGGTGTCGTAAGAGCCGACTAAGGGAAAAAACTAAGCAAGACAATAGCACTGCACAGAGAAGGAAAACTTGACACAAACCCTTTACCAACCCGTCTGGCCAGCGTGGTATAGTAGGCCAAAACCTCCTTTCTCAGGAGAGGCTTATGTCCAGCAGTGGACTATTAAAGGCTGTTGATGATGATGATGATGATGATGATGATTTATGACTAATCCTAGTAAAAAAATGCATACATCCAAAAATACGTCCACTCTAACAAACTTTGACGGTTGTTAATAACAATAACTAGCTGACCGGCGCAACTTCGTCTGCGTCTCTCAATAGTAATAAATTTTCTCCGTTTTTGAAACAATCTTCATTGGTGCTCCGCTCCTATTGGTCTTAGCGTGATGATATATAGCCTATAGCCTTCCTCGATAAATGGTCTATCTAACACTGAAAGAATTTTTCAAATCGGACCAGTAGTTCCTGAGATTATCGCGTTCAAACAAACAAACAAACAAACAAACAAACAAACTCTTCAGCTTTATAATATTAGTATAGATTAGTAAGATTGTGTAGTGAACTACACAAAAATAAAAAAATCATCATCATGATATATATCTTACCATATCATCAAACGGTGCCATAGCAGTGCCTTTCAGCCACTGTGAGGCGGCAGGTACGAGCTTCTCATGAGCACTTCCATAGAATCCTTCTGGTGGAGGTGTAACTTCTCCATATTTTTTATCGTCCACAAACAACGATATACCATCTAGAAAACGTAAAAAAATTAAAAAGAGGCTCTAGCGGGTATAACGACTAATAAATTAGTAGTAAAATAAAAATAATTTTTTTTTAGAGAAGGTACTACTAAATTCAATATTTAACATATTCAACCTAATATTTAATAATAATAATAGTATTTTATTAGTATTTTTACATCTACAGTTGTATTTTTATTGCTAAACTGCGAAACAAATATTTGCAGATAATAAAAAGATTTGGTCCGACCCGGGAATCGAACCCGAGACCTCAGAAGTGCAGTTGCACCACTGAGGCAGACTAAATCACAGCAATTCACGACTTTTATTTGTCACTATTTGGTTATTTACCTGGTCTCCACTCTAGCGAGTAGTTGTGGAATGCGTTACTCCAAAGGTCGAAGCCAATTTCCTCTCTCAGATGGACTGATCTGTAAAAAGTTCAAGTCCATTAATTAAAAAAGTGGCAAATTAAACTGCTCTGCCTCGAAGTTACTTTTGTGCCCGTCATAGGTGCACCATGAATCTTCTGTTGTAAAGGATACCAGCACTGGTTTTTATTTTATTTTACTTGGACAACAAACAGTATCTTATCTTTATTCCACAAATACTTACATCACTAATAACCATTTATGAGTTTTCGCATAATAATATACATATTTGCTAGATAAGTATTAAGCAATATGAATTTATAAGTTATGTATTAAATGAGAAAAATAAGACAATTCGGGAAAGGATTCGAACTATTGGTCGGAAAGTGAATGTAACGGGATGGATTTAAATTTATGGCAGTAAACCTTTCGTTTATATTTATTGTATAAATAGGCACTGGTAACCGCTTATCATTAGGAGTTTGAATTGCTTGTAATTCTTTACGATCTCTAATCAACTGAAGTGATCCTTCAAAGAGTTCTGAATGTTTTTATCAAGATCTAAGAACTGTCAATTTTTTTTCCTGGACTACCTTTGATAACACAGATAGTTGCTCAAAGGAAAATCTTTCCCTCCGAGCCTTTTTCCCAAACTAGGTTGGGGTTTGCTTAAGTCTACTATGATACGACCGAACTTAGTTCTTAATAATTTCCTGTGAAAAAAAGAACGATCTTACGTTGAAATATCTCTATCTAGTCTTTGCAAGTCATTGTGCGCTACTTCAATTTTTTCTATCTAGTACCTGTAAGGCTCTGTGTCACACATAATGGGTCCTCCATAAAGTTTTTTGGCAGACTCTACGTTCCCCTTCACGGTAGCTATACGAAGTCTTCCTGATGCGTAATTTCTGATTCCGTAGATATCGTTGAGTGGTTCCAGTTGGATTTCTGGAAGAAAAATTGTCCTGTGTAAAAAGTATAACTCCTGATACTTGGATTATACGAGTATGAAGGAATAGCTTCTATTAAAGATTCTAAATTGACAAGATAACAATCTTGTTTATATAATCAAAACAAATATAATTCATGTGTAACTAGTCAATGATAGAAAAACTTTACTTGGTATACGATTCTAAGATTTTTATGTCAAATAGTTTTATTCCAAGTTAATCCTGGTGTGTAATAAAAACAGACAATCTACAATTAAAGAAATATGCACAAAACCTAAGGGGCACACTTTTTAAAATCTGGAAATTAAGTAAACTATAAAGATAAACGTGTTGTAACACGTTCAAGGAATGAAAAGCTGCAGTATATTCTTTACCAGGATAAATCCAGTCACCAAGTGGCATCTTTGCTCTGATTTCAACCCTTCCATATTTGAAAGAGAATTTGTTTTTAGTTGTGACCTTTGCCGTGATAATGGGGGGTAAAATGTGAGCCCCACATGCTTCTCGAGCACAATCTGGTGTGCCAATGACTCCTGTGCATCTGGAACATAAAGCCATGGTGAACTATGGGATCGAGGTGGAAAACTCCCTGATCTTTTTTTTGATAAGGTAAATTACTACCACTTAAGATTTCTGACCCTCCTGAAAATTATAGTGTAAATTTAGGTATTTACTAAAATAAGAAAAGAAATTCCCTACACACACATCCAGAATTCAGAAAAAAAGAAGTACCAACCGTGTCTTTCTGAATTATCTATACACTTCTAAAGTTAGCATTGCAATTTACTAAAAACACTCAAAGTTACAATTAATTTAAATCAAAAGAGTTTTACCTATTGGTTAAATCTAGGGACTGTTTCACGAAATCTTCTCCATATTTAGACTCCAGGGTCATCGGGTTGATGAAAAGCATACCGTCTCTCACTCGAAGGTTTCTTTCATGAAGATAAACATTGAAAGGGTAATCCTGTAGAATTTAATCATTCAGTAAACTCAGTGATTACAATAAAATTGGTGGTCAGAGAAGTTGGTATAATTCCTATTTCCTTTTGTCATGTAAGTCAAGTACAACATTGCGGCATGACCGCTACATAAGAATAGCAGAAATCAACTAATGAAGAAAATACTTTAATGATTGATGACTTATTGAGTCTAAATGGAAAAAAAAACCGGTGTATAAGTTTTGGGACAAGACCAACAAAAATAGTAGAAAACCATAGTTCGATTAAAGAGTTTTTGTTTAGGCCGTCATGGAATATCAAAGACATAATTGACTTTTCTGAAAATGAGTTTTAAATGCAAGTACATAAGTTTTGATTTTGTAATCAAACCCTCTAAATTAGCAGTACAGTTTTTTTTTATTTGAGCCTTAAGTTGCTGATGACACCTACGTGTCATCAGCAACATTTCCAATACTAATATGATTTAAAAGAAAAATAATACGTTGATTAACTTTTATAATTTACTGTAAATTATGATATCATCATACCATATCATCATTGTTTAGTAATTAGTACACTCACGTTTTCATCAACTAAGGGGTAGGCAAAGGCGTTTTAAACGCCTACATCTTGCTCACTATAATTATTTCAGTTCAACTTACGTAATATTACGAGTATATTAAGATACTTATACAGTTCTAAATCCATACATATTACAGATATTTGCCCTGGATGGGAATCGAATTCACGGCCTCTGGCTCAGCAGTCAGGATGACAACTTGACCAACCGGCCCGCCATTTTAGGCATTGTTAGGCCAGGTAATTTTCAAAAGCTTAAATTTGGTATTGTAATTTAATTTTCATTTTATAGCAAAGGTCCTATTTATTGTGTAGAATTTATTTAATAAAGACTTACCGGTTCACCGGGAAACTTAATTTCAGGGGTCCAGACTTTTCCTTTGTCTATTTCAGAGTTGAAATTATCTTCAAACAGGAGCTGGCCTTTGCAGACGAACCCTGGCACATTTACTTGTGAGATTGAAAGTTCACAAGGGTATTGAAAAGCAGGTTTATTCGGAGATGTAGGGGCGGAAGTAGGAGCAGGTGTCGGTTTCACTGACTGATGATTTTCCATTGTTCCAGGCGTAGTGTTAATTGGTGTAACAGAAGTTGGATTTACTGGATTTCCAGCCTCATCCACGTAACCTGAGACCAAAAACATTTGTGAGATAATATAGTTACTGGCAATACACACTAACATTTTTAAGGAATAAATTACACGAATACCAATATAAACCTAACAAGTTTTACCTGTAACCATCCATTCTCCATTATCCTGCCGATAACCCAACCCATCTTTTATAACATATGTCCAGAAGTAAATTTTGTCTCCGATTTTTAACTGAACATCCCTGTCCGTGAAAGTCCACCTGCCTCTCTTTGGTTTGATAATATCCCTTGACCAGCGACCTGCTTGAAGGTTTTCTATTTCTTCGTTCAGATTACCATGGAAAGCAAATAGCGAAAAGCCATCGTCTGGAAACAAAAATTTTATACTATTTTATACGTATTTGATTTATCTGTCTTTCTGGTTACAAATGCCAAGATATTAGTATTGCTAAGTATTGTTACGAGCCGGGAATTTGTTCGTCACTTGGTCGTTGTGCATCACTTGATAGTAGATGGCGCTGTCCTCCAGATTCCATAAGAATCTCGATTGTTCACGAACGAACGACAATAAAAGAACCATTAATCCTATGTCGCAACACTATACTAACAACTTTTTAGTAAAACCCAATTAATATGTTATATATTTTGTACACACAGACAGTCCGGTATTTACGAAGCACAAAAATAATACAATTGCTCTGTGTGTGCAGTGGTTAGTGACCCTGACTGTTAAGTTAAACATCGTTGGTGCCCACCGGGACCAATATAATACAAAGGGAAGAGCACTATCATTTGTTCTGTGTCTGGATGTAATTTATCTATCATATGAGCTCCAGGAGAGGAGCTCATATGATAGATAAAATCTCCTCTCTAGGAGAGGCCTATGGAAAGGTCCAGCAATGGACTGCTAAAGGCTGTTGATGATGACGATGATGATGTATGTATTTAGAAATATATATGTATGTTTATCAGAAGGCTGGTCACCACAGTACAGGCTGTTTGTTATCATACGACAGTGTGTAAGATGTATCAAGATATTATGATTGTTACAAATGTACCGTACGTATTACGCTTTGAAACTATAAGGACTTTGCCGATCATTTTAAAACTTTTTATAAACATTATGAGGGTTATAATATAGATATATAATATTGGGCACGCCGTTATCTAGGCGGTAAGGCCCGTTATGGATTGGCTCGAGAAGCGTGATCACCGGGAAAGGATGCTTCGGAGATCACTTGTGTCTGACATAGGGGTTCCCACACAGGAGGGGGTCATTTACGCGCCGTAGATGGCCTAGAGTTCACCTGGTTACCCGGCAACTGGTACCCGGTTCGAGTCCGACAAAACCACCGGTGGGTGGTAACCGAGGGGATTTCCGCACAGAAAAAAAAGGGTTATAATATAGAAGGGTATACCGTACCTTACATTTAGTTAAAATACTATATAACTGAATTCTTTGACTAAATGCAAAATAACGCAAGTGAAAAGGTCTTTTACATTTCTGGTAATGAATTAAATATTGTGATATATGTGTTGTATAATATCATTATCGAATAAACGTTTAAAAACCAATTATATTAACGATGTTAACATTACACTACATTTTGTGTAACGATGTTACACAAAATGTAGCATGATATAAATAGTTAATCAAATTCTAGTTTTTTAACTGCTACGAGTCTGATTCGCTGTATTGTAACACCTGCCTAGAATTATCGTCTTTTCTACTATTTTTTATTCATCATATTACGTAATTTTACGTAATATGATGGTTTACGTGAACGTCCGTGTGGTGACGGATTAAGAATACAGAGTGTCACCACCCCTATGCATCCCGTGGGTGTCGTAAGAGCCGACTAAGGGAGCAAACTACGCAGGACAACAGCACTGCAGAGAGAAGGAAAACTTGACAGAAACCCTATACCAACCCGTCTGGCCAGCGTGGTATAGTAGGCCAAAACCTCCTTCCTAAGGAGAGGCCTATGTCCAGCAGTGGACTAGTAAAGGCTGTTGATGATGATGATGATGATACGTAATTTTGCAAGTATATACTAGTACTATTTTATATTCGGTGGTATGATGTTAGGAAACCGTCCGTGTGGTGACGGATTAAGAATACGGAGTGCCACCACGCCTATTCATCCCGTGGGAGTCGTAAGAGCCGACTAAGGGAGCAAACTATGCAGGACAACAGCAATGCAAAGAGAAAAAAACTTAACACAAACCATGTACCAACCCGTTTGGCCATCGTGCTATAGTAGGCCTATGCCAAAGGAGAGGCCTATGTCCAGCAGTGGACTATTAATGGCTGTTGATGACGATGATGTTAGAAAAAAAGGCTGCCTGTTACGTAAGCGCAACTAAAATAGTAGTCAACTAAATATAGGCAATTTAATGCGCTTTTGTCTACCTCTCCAGGGATAACAGGAGTAGGTGTATATATGTTAGAAAAAAGAACTTTAAACTAAATACGTTCGTGTGTAAAAACTTGAAGTTTGGATTATACAAAATGATGTACAGCAAACGCCTGCTTGCACTGAAGCTGCCTTGTTAAGGAAAAATCTATTGGGAAGACAGCAATTAGTAAAATTTACGTAATCCTGATATTGTTTCTGAACCATCAGAGGAAGAAGTTGGACTTCACTGGTGTTGCTGGCATTTTTAACCGACTTCAGAAAAGAAGGAAAATAAATTCTCAATTAGGCAGTATTTTTTATGTTTGGCTCCTCAGAACTCTGACACTTATGATTTATGTAGAGATTCGGGTAATTCTCCAGGATAGGGTGAAAATTAAAGAATGATAAGAATAGTTTCATTATAAGGTTCAAAAGTTAATTATTGGGCAACTTGTACTTGTGTACTTCATCATCATCATCAACAGCCTTTAATAGTAGATAGAGAGATAGATGCATACATAGGTATCTCCTTAAAAAGGAGGTTTTGGCCTACCATACCATCCTGGCCAGACGCGTTGGTATAGGGTTTGTACTTATTTGATCCGGATGCCTTAATATCAGCTGTTCTCGGATCCCTCCTATCTCAGGAGGAGTGGCACACCGTATAGTTATAGTCGGTTCGATTCCCGGTGACGGCCCGAGGGTGTCCACACGTAAAAGAAGAATTTGTACTTATTCAAACATAAATATAATTACGAGTCATAGCTTTCAAGACTTGTTGGTTCATATTTATCTTACGCTCTTTCCAGCTTATCGACCTCGTGATCTTTGCTCAGTAGTATTGGTGTTTCTATAAAGCAATGTGTATAATAAAAAGCAAAGTAATTTTCCGTTATAAATACTTTAGGACCGTAAGGAGGTAGTACTTTAAGTTTTCGGATCATTGAATCTGAACAAGTTGGTCCTTCGAGCCTGAATCTTTTAAAAGATATCGGAAAGTAGATTATTACTTAATAACTAAAACTAAATCCTCTTCTACGAGTCAATGAAATAGTCTTGGGAAAAAACTTCATCATATACTTACATACTTGACTTGTTTGATTATCAAGCGATGCACGTTTTATTTGTTAGAGTTCGTTTGCAAACCAGTTAGATATTACGGATGTGTTAGCACAGTCAGCCTAAACACGTTCTGATCAACAATGGTATCTATTTTTCAGGTATAGGGTTCAAAATTTTGTAAACGGGTTTTATCCAATTATGATCAAGTAAATACCTACCTATGTATTTACTTGATAATAATTGGATCTCTGTATCCCAGTCCCTGAAGGACTCTCTCTCTCTCTCTCTCTCTCTCTCTCTCTCTCTCTCTCTCTCTCTCTCTCTCTCTCTCTCTCTCTCTCTCTCTCTCTCTCTCTCTCTCTCTCTCTCTCTCTCTCTCTCTCTCTCTCTCTCTCTCTCTCTCTCTCTCTCTCTCTCTATCTTATGTTCTCCGTTCCCCCGGTTCCCCGGTCTCTTTGTGATGGCGTTAGGTCCCTCACCCTATCCACCAAATTGACTTTTCCTTACACCAAATTGACTTTTTACCTTTGTTCCTTCTGAAAATGATTGAGGAGGCTCAAGAGGAAGGCTGGCGTCAGGCAGGCGGGGGGACATGCAAAAATATGCTAAATCCCTTTGTGTGACTCCACATAAAATTGGGTAAATTACAGCCAAATAGTGATGAAAAGTGGAATTCAAAAATGGAATGAGTTCATTACTCATTTTAGACTGCTCCCAAACAGTATTAAATCTCGAAAAATATTTTTATTTATTTAAATATATTAATACAATAAAAGTTTTTATTAACATTATTTTTCTATTTTTGTAAATAATACTGCCGATACTTATCTCAGGTCTTAAACCCGACAATAACACAATTATTTAACTTGAAGCCCATAATGTTTATTTAGCTCGTTAACTAACCATTCACTTTATATACCATTTTAAGAAAAATATTTACCTGGTATTGACACCCTCATGCCTTTAGGCCATATAGCTTCAACTTTTGCAGGCGGCACATCATAACATAACACAAAATTAAAAACAGAACAGAAACATAAAAACAAAATGGAGATTCGCACCATTTTTAATTGTGCATAATACACACAGATCGAATTCTATTTTTAAAATTATATTCAAGTACAAAAGAGGTCAGTGTTTCTCGAGACCTTGCATATAACTGATGTGCTCGCATAGACAAGTTTATTACTAATGTACATTATGGTTTTTTTTGTTAGAGGTTACGGCCGCGCTGCGGTCGATGACGTTAGACATTCAGATATTAATTCAAAACAATTAATAAACTGGTTTGGAAACCGGACTTTTGGATTGTGTACTTTTTATAGCAATAACCAGAAATGCAAATATATGAACCTAATCTTAAAAGCGGTTATGCCTAAGTGATTAATTGTTCGATCTTCCGCGCCTCAGCATGGGCGGGATAGACATTGGATTGTCTAAACAAATCACAAACTTACATTTAACACACACATCACAAACGTATGCAGAAAGGCGATCGGCATCTACCAGAAGCTGGCACGGATAGCCCGGATCAGCTGGGGGTTACACCCCGAGGTATACATACCCTCCATCCCCTGGCAGTGGAGGTCAGGGTAGTCATTCGGAAAGGCATGGCCCGGGGTAAGGTAATATCCTTATTCTGGGTCAGGGCCCACGCAGGGTTGGGGGGTAATGAGCGAGCCGACCACCTCGCCGAGGAAGCGGCTCTTCAACTGAAGAAAGCACCGAACTACGGTTTGTGCCCTGTTTCGTTTGTGAAGCGGCCTCGCTTGGCGAATGGAACAAGAGGTACAAAGAGGGCGAGACCGCCTTCGCTACCAAGCTGTTTTTCCCCTGCGCGCCAGCTGCGTATGGCGTCGTGCGTAGGATGGAGGTCGCCAGCATTACGACCCAGTTATTAACGGGGTATGGTGGGTTCTCCGAATACTTGACAAGGTTCAAGTGCAAAAGAACCCATCATGCATTTGTGACCCGGATGTTCAGGAAACCGTCCTTCACCTCATCACAGAGTGCCCTACCTTTAGAAGGAACTTTAGAAGTAGAAATTATAGATAGAAAAATAGGAGTGTATTTATAGAATACTGTATAGCCATTATAAGAGTAGTAAATGAGAGATAAAGGTTAATTAAAAAAATATGATTCAAAATAATATAATATTATTGTTGTTAATCATATGTTAAGATAGTAATACATATAATTTGTAGTAAGTTGTATAGCATTATAATGTATATAGTTCAGACATAGTTTATAAATCTGTATTTAGTTGGAAGTGTTTAGTTTAAGTTTAGCAAATAAGAGAAAAAAGCAGAATGAAAATAAAAAGTTATTAGAGTGTTGTAATCAATTACCCTGAGTTAAATAAATAAAGAAAAACATTAGACTAGAGAGTAGAGAAGCAGGAATCCCACCTGGACAAGTATGAAAGGCAGAGTGTAAGAAAGATCAAGTATGAGGAATGAAAGTACGAGCAATAGCACAAGCGAGAACTGATATGACAGGATAAAGCAAACAATAGGCTCCAAACAGTATTGGAGGTGGTAGTATTAAAAAAAAAAAAAAATCGTTCATTATTCCCGTTTGCTACACTATCTTATTTCTGCCCAAGTCTCGTAGCAGTTAGGTCAAGTTTATTCGTTCACAATTTGTACTAGTTATGAACCGTATCGACTTCAATGCACCTATATTATTTTATGAAAGAGTTATGCTACGGTACACAAGACCCGGTTCATCCAGCATCGTACTATAGCCTCGCACAATATGAGTAACAGGTGTCCTTTGACAAACTCTCCCCCCCCTCAAGGAACAAGTGCAGGCGGTTGGGGCTCCGGTAACCTTTCTAAGAGGCCTATGTTAAGCAGTAGACTGTTAAACGCTCGGCTGCCCCAATTTAAAACCCAGTAAGTGCTTTTTAACAAATTTTACAGGAGAGCCCAAAAACGTAACACGGACTAGCCAAGCAAAAGTGTTAGAGTTAAAGTAAAAAAGTGATATTTATTAGATAGAGTACTAAACACTGATTACAAAATGAGTAAAATATTTCGAAAATAATGTATATCGCATGTTTTGTACCCCTTACTAACTTTGAAAATTAACAAACTCAACTTTTACCTCTGTCCTGACGCGTTTCAAAACCTAGTATAAGCACTTGCTGTGTTCTGGAATGGGTATAATGAACTTGTCACGTATGCTTTCGGTGTAGTTCCTAGTATGTGCATGTTTCAGCAAGGAAAATATTCAGAAAACATTTATTTTGGAATCATTTATTATTGAAACAAATGTGTTTTTATATTAATTTCAAAGAAGAAAAACTGATTAATTAATTTCTGTTATCATTTCACCTTCACTTATTAAATCAACTGAAGAATCATTCACAGGGAGATTCAGCCAGAAAGCCTAACGCGATTTCCCCTCACACGTCGCTATCCCCTAGAATTGAGTTCGTTCACAATTTAGAAAATCTAGTACGTTGCTTTGACCATTTTAAAACCTAGCAAGTGTTAGGTTTTATAGTTGTGAAATTGACTTACTAGGTTTTTGTATTGGTTTTTAGAGAGCACGTAGACCTCTTACTAGGTTTTACATTATCAGAATATCCTTAATTTGTAAGATTTTAAAGCAGGTAATTTCACAATTCCACGCGACTCACTATAAAAGTTCGAAATATGCAAAAAGAGTGATTTCAGAAAAGTGACCCTTACTGGGTTTTAAATTGGGGCAGCCGCGCTGTTGATGAACCTTACTCACTGGGTGAATAAATGCTGTTGATGAACCTTACTAAGTAAAAAAAAAATGAAATGCTGAACACCGGTTTGTACAGAAGCATCGCTCTCCCTAGTTACTTTTACAGTTAAATTTACTTCAGATAATCACTATAAAACAACCTTTTGATCAAAGAGCATGTAAAAATCATTATAATCAGCTATTTCTGGTGATTAAATTATTAGTATTTATCGGTCGCCTTCAAATAGCACTCAAATATACTGATACTTATGATATTGATTGTATCGTGCTTGATTGTGATGATGATGACGACCAATGAATATTTATACAAGTTTAAGAATATTTACGCACCGATGCAAACCGGTCAATCCACAGAATATCGCCAGTAAGATTGATCTATATTTTTGACATTAATCTTTATATTAAACATATAAAAAGTAGTGATGTAAGAAGTTAATTGAAGGTAAAGATGGCAAACGACTGTGTAGGAATGACTGTTCCTCTAACATAAAGGGAGGACCTCCGACCAGGCTAGGTGATTAAGCTATGCGGACCGCGCCGTAACAGTTTATGCTGGGAAGTTATATTTACTAATCCGCGCGAGAACTTTAATTGCGCGATGTGGGAATATTAGTTACTCCGTAGTTCGGTGTCTGCTTTTGGTTGTACATGGAAGTCGCCACATTCCTATCGAAATAAAACTTTGCATTTTAAATTGACAAAATGACCTCGTATCTCAAGACTGACAAATACTGATCCATGGGTCGATGTGTCGGTCTGGATTGCCATCCATTTTCGGTGTTGGATTGTATGCATTGTTTCAATTTTTTTCCTAAAACCTTTCGTTCAGGGTATCAAAATGAAGGGTTTAAAATGTGCATAGAAAATGATTATACGTTTATTACTCACTATTTTTAACATGGTCGTAATTCATTAAATTCTAATTTGTATTTTGAACTTATCTTTTTTTTAATGTAATATATAAAATACGTAAAATTTCTGTGACTGATTTTAGGATGCAGTTGGACCTAAACAAAGCTAGTTTCTAAAACAATATTATTGTACTTTTCATTCTAAATACACACATAAAAATAAACAGACCATTGCAAATAGAGTTTTTCGTGCATGCATTATATGACCAGTCTGAATTAAGGCAAGACTAAGTACTACGAAAATACCTTTTATGACAGTTGCGAGATCTAAAGTTGATAGGAGCTGAATTGTGACCGAACTTTTATTAAGAGGATTGGTCTTCAGGTGTTGCATTTGCATTAGCGACTTAATCGAATTGGTCTCAAAAGGCCTTGTTTAGATATTCATGTGTCCAAAAACTGTAAAGGAAATTCTTATACACCCCGGCTTTTTTAGACTTCCAACTTTATTCAGTTTCATTTCTGATCATCATCATCAACAGCCTTTAATAGTCCACTGCTGGACATAGGTCTCTCCTTAGAAAGTAGGTTTTGGCCTACTATACCACGCTGGCCAGACGGGTTGGTATAGGGTTTGTGTCAAGTTTTCCTTCTCTCTGCAGTGCTAGTGTGAATGAATGGGATGAATTGGGGTAGTTCCGTATTCTTAATCCGTCACTACACGGAGCTGATGCAGAAATATTAAAAAATATCAAACAACAATAAATTATTAAACTAAATATAATCTCAAATTCATCACAGTCACATCACCAAATAAGGTTTACAATGCAAATACTTTGATATAATCAACTTTCAAATTAGTATTGTACCACGACGGCAACCAAGTTGACTTTTTATTCCAGAAGTCCAGGATAGCTTTTCTGCCGCGATTCTTCCATGGCTTCCCCGGTAGATCGTCTGGGAAGTCATTTACTCCACCAACGCGAAGACCAAGAGATAAGTAGAACTGTAAATTAGAACATTGTTACCAAACCTTCAGAACAATCAGAGTGACTGACCGATACGACCTTCAAAGCTTCAAGAAAAGAGCGTGCTCCTTCCTAAAAGGCCGGCAACGCGTTTGTGACTCCTGAGTTGCAGACGTTCATGAACGGTGATAGTCATTTTATATCAGGTGACCCGTCTGCTCGTCTGCCCCCTCTCACATAAAGAAAAGACTAGAAAACATAATTTACCAAACTCAGGCGAAAAGGGTTTTGGAACAAATTACTTGTGTAACGAATCGACACAGGCATATTAAACGTTCAGGATTTGCCGACCATCCGTGTGGTGACGGATTAAATAAATTATATTTATTTATGTAAGTTAATCTTTTCAGATTACAGTGTAGGGTCTTTAAAGGCTTTTTGAAGAAAGTAACATAGTTTTGATCCATGCAGACGGCATACGGGCCCCCAGCAATCGTGTACACTGAAGCCCGCAGGCCATTTGAGTTGGCCGAGGAAATACTCAAAACCACCAGTAAGTTACTAAACATGAACTAACTAACTAACGAACAAGCCTACACTAAACTCACATTTACATACTTACACAAAATAATACATAATAGTATACAATTCAATAGGTTGCCTGGAAGAAATTGCACTAAGTTAATTACTTTATAATGTCTGTAAAACTCTGGTGTAGAGCTGACCTTACATAACCTTGACCTTAGAGAGATTGCTATTCACGTCATCAGTAACTGATTGCTGTCGTTTAAGTTTAGTACCTACCTACTACCTTGAATAAAGGAATGATCTTACTATGATTAATTAAATCAGGAAATACACCACATTCAATGCACTTATTGAAAATTAAAGCCTACTCTGATGCAACTACGCTGATAATTGACTTTGTTATTTGCATAAAATTACCTCATAGGTCGCCGGTTCTCTTAAGACTAAGAGCATTGAATTTTTTAACAAAATCTCTGTCGGTGATACAACTAAATCTAAAGTCGGTATTACAAATGTTAATATTCTCTTTCAATAAAGATTCTGCAATAGTGGGAGACGAATTCAATGATTCTGTTGTCGAGACTGGAATGTCTATGATTTCTTTTTCAGAAACTGTAGCAACGTCTAAATCGGATTTTTTTACCTTGCTTTTCCTGTATTAATTATTTCCCAGGTCGTTATAATTTTATTTGAACTATTACTAGAGTGGTGGTGCCTGTCCGTATTCTTAGAAAAAATTAAGAATATGGAGTGTCACCACCACTATTCATCCCGTGGGTGTCGTAAGAGCCGACTAAGGGACAAAACTACGCAGGACAATAACACTGCGAAGAGGAGGAAAACTTGACACAAACCCTATACCAACCCGCCTAGCCAGCATGGTATAGTAGGCCAAAACTCCTTTCTAAGGAGAGACCTGTGTCCAGCAGTGGACTATTAATGGGATGAATTTACCGATTATAATTTTACTCCCGTTCACGTTATAGATATTAAATAAAATTAATATTGACTGCTTAGAAACATTGAATTTACCGTCGGCTAGTATAGTTCAAGTCAACGAGTTTCGCTTTTATTCAGTAGGCGGGCAATTTAAGCTATTTCTTGTCAGTAATTCGCTAATGATTCTTTAAAGTATTTTATCTAATATATAACTATCTCATGTCACGGTGTTTGTGGTCGCACTCTTCCAAAACGGCTTGTCCGCACCATTTTTAATTGTGCATAATACACACAGATCGAATTCTAATTTTAAAATTATATTCAAGTACAAAAGAGGTCAGTGTTTCTAGAGACCTTGCATATAACTGATATGCTCGCATAGACAAGTTTATTACTAATGTACATTATGTTTTTTTTTGTTAGAGGTTACGGCCGCGCTGCGGTCGATGACGTTGGACATTCAGATACTAATTCAAAACAATTAATAAACTGGTTTGGAAACCGGACTTTTGGATTGTGTACTTTTTATAGCAATAACCAGAAAAGCAAATATATGAACCTAATCTTACAAGCGGTTATGCCTAAGTGCTTAATTGTTCGATCTTCCGCGCCTCAGCATGGGCGGGATAGACATTGGATTGTCTAAACAAATCACAAACTTACATTTAACACACACATCACAAACGTATGCAGAAAGGCGATCGGCATCTACCAGAAGCTGGCACGGATGGACTATCTATGTCGCGGCGGTGGAGCCCACCATCTTGTATGGTGCCGGCAGCTGGTGCGTGGCGGCGAAGGGGCTTGGTGTCCGTAAACAGCTGAACGTGGTACAACGCGAATTCGCCCAGAAGCTGTGCAAGAGCTATCGTACGGTCTCTCTGCACTCAGCGCTGATCTTGGCTGGTATGCTCCCTCTGGACCTCAGAGTTCGCCAATAGCGTAGCCAAGAGAGGGGTGTACCACTCATGGTTCGGAGATAGAGAGATCGAACGAATGACTCTGGCGATAAAGGCGCCACACCCCGCGGAGTATGGGGCCTTGGCTATAGCGCACCGACAACATCGAGGTGCGCATATTCACAGACGGGAGCAAGATTGAGGGCCGGGTCGGGCCGGTTGAAATAACGGAGCCGAAACCAGGGCCCTCAAACTTGCTTTGTCACCCCCATTGCACCGTCTACCAGGCCGAGCTTCTGGCCCTATGCAAAGCGGCCAGTGAGGTCCTCAGGCGAGGCGAAACCACGTTCGGGATTCAAACTCAAACTCAACTCAACAAACTCAACTCAACTCAACAATAGTATAATAAATAAAAAAAACTCAACTCAACAAACTCCTGCGAAAAGGGTTTTGGAACAAATAACTTGTGTAACGAAGCGACACAGGCGTATTAAACGTTCAGGATTTGCCGACTACCCGTGTGGTGACGGATTAAATAAATTATATTTATTTATGTAAGTTAATCTTTTCAGATATTTTTACAAGTCGGACTTTACAGATAGATGGAGCCGGCATTTCCTAAGACTCACTCTGGGTAGAAACGCCGAAACAAGCCATAGAGGGGTCTTCTTTTTAGTAAAGTTAAAGAAAACTGTGCAATTACAGTGTAGGGTCTTTAAAGGCTTTTTGAAGAAAGTAACATAGTTTTGATCCATGCAGACGGCATACGGGCCCCCAGCAATCGTGTACACTGAAGCCCACAGGCCATTTGAGTTGGCCGAGGAAATACTCAAAACCACCAGTAAGTTACTAAACATGAACTAACTAACGAACAAGCCTACACTAAACTCACATTTACATACTTACACAAAATAATACATAATACTATACAATTCAAAAGGTTGCCTGGAAGAAATTGCACTAAGTTAATTACTTTATAATGTCTGTAAAACCCTGGTGTAGACCTGACCTTACCTAACCTTGACCTTAGAGAGATTGCTATTCACGTCATCAGTAACTGATTGCTGTCGTTTAAGTTTAGTACCTACCTACTACCTTGAATAAAGGAATGATCTTACTATGATTCATTAAATCAGGAAATACACCACATTCAATGCACTTATTGAAAATTAAAGCCAACTCTGATGCAACTACACTGATAATTGACTTTGTTATTTGCATAAAATTACCTCAAAGGTCGGCGGTTCTCTTAACACTAAGAGCATTGAATGTTTTAACAAAATCTCTGTCGGTGATACAACTAAATCCTTAGTCGGTATTACAAATGTTAATATTCTCTTTCAATAAAGATTCTGCAATAGTGGGAGACGAATTCAATGATTCTGTTGTCGAGACTGGAATTGCTAGGATTTCTTTTTCAGAAACTGTAGCAACGTCTAAATCGGATTTTTGTACCTTGCTTTTCCTGTATTAATTATTTCCCAGGTCGTTATAATTTTATTTGAACTATTACTAGAGTGGTGGTGCCTGTCCGTATTCTTAGAAAAAATTAAGAATATGGAGTGTCACCACCACTATTCATCCCGTGGGTGTCGTAAGAGCCTACTAAGGGACAAAACTACGCAGGACAATAACACTGCGAAGAGGAGGAAAACTGAAACCCGCCTAGCCAGCATGGTATAGTAGGCCAAAAACTCCTTTCTAAGGAGAGGCCTATGTCCAGCAGTGGACTATTAATGGGATGAATTTACCGACTATAATTTTACTCCCATTCACGTTATAGATATTAAATAAAATTAATATTGACTGCTTAGAAACATTGAATTTACCGTCGGCTAGTATAGTTCAAGTCAACGAGTTTCGCTTTTATTCAGTAGGCGGGCAATTTAAGCTATTTCTTGTCAGTAATTCGCTAATGATTCTTTAAAGTATTTTATCTAATATATAACTATCTCATGTCACGGTGTTTGTGGTCGCACTCTTCCAAAACGGCTTGTCCGATTATTTTTTTTCTTTTTATATCTGGGAGGTATTGTTAGATCATGTATATGGCAGAACAACGTTTACCGGGTCAGCTAGTTTTTTCTTTATGTTAGAGGGGGCAGACGAGCAGACGGGTCACCTGATGGAAAGTGACCTTCGGCGTCTATGAACGTAGTGACAAACTCGTTGCCGGCCTTTTAGGATTGACTACGCTACGTTCTTTTCATAAAGGTTTGAAGGTCGTACTGATCCGGAAATACCGCAGACGATAACCCGTTCCACAGATTGGTTGTGCAAGGCAAAAAGTGTCTCGAAAAGCGCACAGAAGTGGAGCACCAACTATCAAGGTGATGAGGATGAAAATTTTGCCGTGTGGAACGATAGCGGAAAGTACTGGCTGGTATTAGTTCGAACAATTCCTTGGAGTACTCTCCATGATAGATGCGATAGAGAATGCAACGTGAAGCCACATCTCTACGTACCGCCAAGGGATCGAGCCGATCGGAGATGTTTGGGCAATCGACGATTCGAGTCGCTCTTCGTTGGATGCGGTCCAGAGGGAGAAGATGGTACTGAGGTGCCCTTGCATAGAGATGAGAACAGTATTTCATATGCGGCCGGACTTGCACCTTGAGCTGAAGGTGGTGGGACGGAGTGAAATACTGCCTCGATTTGTCTTGCACACCGAGCTTCTACGAGACCAATTTGACCTTACCCTCTAAGCGATCCCGAAACTGAACTTCGCTCGATATGTAGATGCCTAGGATTCCGATGCTGGCTGAAGCAGTTAGGGAGGTGCTCTCAAACCGAGTTGATACGACAAATGGTATCTTCTTTGCGGTGAACGCATATACTTATGTCTTTTTTGGGTTGAACTGGACTAGATTTAGTCAATTAAGTTTCAATTTCAGACACAAGTTTGATTCGACTGTCGATGACGTTTTTCCGAGAAATATTGGGGCGGCCGGTATAAAGGGCATCTCCCGTGCCATCATCTGCATAGCAATCGATGCTCCTAGATTGCAACATGTCATTGTATAAAGGAGTTTTGACTATAGGCCTGTAGTTGGACGGGTCAGAGCGGTCACCTTTTTTAGGGATCGGATGCACAAACGCTACCTTCCAGGAGTTCGGGACGACGCCTTGAGAGTGGGAGAGGCGAAAAAGGCGCGTTAAAACCGGTGCCAACTCCGGAGCACACGTCATCAACACGATAGAAGAGATTCCATTTGGCCCACACGACTTATGAATGTCGAGGAAAAAGAATGCTTTACGCACTGATATTTGTGTGAACCGTATATTCGGCATATAGCTCTGGCACCGCGGTATGGTCGGCGGTGCGTTTCCTTCGTCATCCATAATCGAGTTGGATGCAAAGAGTTTGCCTAGGAGATCGGCTTTCTCCTTGGCATCATAGACCAATAAATTATCTCCCATCTGCAGGGGTGGAAAAGGATTGGCTACAGAAGTTCCTCTGGCCTTGGCAATAGACCAGAATGCACGAGTTTCAGAAGGAAGTCTCACCAGACTCTCACCGATCCGGCTGATATACTCCGATTTCGAACTAGCACTGGCTCTTTTAAGGGACTAGCAATGGTTCTTTTAAGTCATTAAAATAATTACCATTTGATCAAATGGTGCCATGATAGATCCTCTCAACCAGCTGCTGGCATGTGGCACAGCAAATTCTCGACCAGTTTCGTAGAAGCCTTGCCCTGGATCAACTTGGCCAAATTTATTGCCATCTACAAATACTTCTATTCTATCTGGAATGAAAAAAATAAGGAATCTTTATTAGATATTTAAATTACCTATGAATATTAAATTTAATTACATAATACTACAGTAATTTATAACATAACATAACAGCTATTAAAATGGGTCTGATACAGCACAGTTCCATTTGGAGGAGACTGTAATTAAACAACAAAAACAACTTGTTTAGATGAGACTGTCATTGTTGTGGGACCGCCGGCGCCAGAGTCGTCTGCGGTATCTGGCCCGTTCTCTAACTTGTTCACAGAACGAGATGGCGGAGTTCCATTCGCTCTCGCTCTGTACCATATCCGCAATTGTCACGCCTTTGCTAACCCACGCCGGGCATTCTGCCAGCGTATGGAGCACCGTGACCATGGTCCGGCCATCTTAGTGGTGACATTTAGGCGTTAGTTCCTTACGGATAAGGTTATCACCTTCATCAGGGGAAAGGACCCTTAATAATCTTAAACAATTGCTGGAAAGGAAAGACCTGATTTAAGCTTTTTTTAACAATACCTTGTCTCCATATCAAAGTGTAATTATGAAAATTATTGTTCCAATTGTCGATGCCGATTGATTCTTTTAAGAACATGGTCCTGAATGGTTCAGCGTCAGACATTATTGGGCCAGCGTACAACTTTTTGGCCTCACTAGGATTTCCCATTGCATAGGCTATTCGCATTAATCCGGATTCGTAGCGTAGAGATCCGTATACACTATCTGCAGGTTCTAGATTTATTTCTGCAAGTAAAACATATTTTTTTAATGTATATAAATGTCTTAAACTTTTCTTGAAGTTGTTTTGTTATTACAAAAAATATTTCTGCTTCGTGACTTCTGTGCTCAATTTGTACCATAGCTGTACAAGTAGTACTGACCTGGTAAAATCCAACTGCCAGCGGGAAGCTTAGCCCTCACTTCAATTCTGCCATAAGTGAAACTAAACTTGTGGCGTGTGGTGAGCTTGGCGGTTATCACCGGTGGTAGAATCTGAGCACCAGAAGCTTCTTGCTTGCATTCTCTTGAGTCCGCTTTGCCGGTACATCTGTAATACATTTAAGATCGTGTTCATGTGTGTCATGTATGTATGTTAAGAAACATGGTATTATTTTTCCAAATAGGACTCTTGGTAATGTGGTGACAGGAAGAGAATAATATGCCTTAAAATAATAATTTATTCAACTGTTAATTATACAAACGAATCTCCCTCAATCTCAGCTTAGTAATTCATACAGACATTACTCCAGGCAAGAGACAAGAAGGCTAGAACATCAGCACAAGATTTCCAATGGCCAAGATTTTTTTTTAATTTTTAACTTAAGATCAATTTTGAAGAAGACATGCTCTACCTCCACGTCAAGTCCAGCGATTCCCTGACAAATCCTTCATGGTGTTGATCCTCCAGGAGTATAGGAGAAAGAACGAGTGAACCATCTTCGAACATTATTGTGTTATCAGGTAGGTATAAGTTGAATGGATAGTCCTTAAAAAAAACATATTTTTTTAATCACTTAGTTACTAATTTTAGGCTAGTAGATTACATACCCTATATATTAAACGGTCGGTAGATCAGGCAGTAATTAGTAGAACATAAATATTGTAAAATAATCGTCATATTCAAACAGCTTTTGACTAAATGCGTCTGAATGTTTTCACAGTGCCTACTTTAACTGAATAAAAAATATTGCCCAATTTTTACTATTTTGGTTTTTCTGTCTGGTTATTCTGACTGATCTCCGGAATAGATAGACACATTTTAACGGAACTTGACTCGTAGTTAAGTTATAAGAAGTTAACGGGAGCAGGTTACAATTATAATTAAAATTATAGGTAGGGTTGTATCCACATTTCTCTAATCGATACTAATGTAAAATAAACATGTAAACGATTTCGTTTCTTTTTTTTTGTTTAAATCGACTAGACACTGGAACCAGTTGGTCAAAATTATTATTTTCTATGAAATAGAGTCAGTACTCTATCTCATAAAAGATTATATTCTACTGCCAGTCTGTACTAGACTACCAGTTATTCAACTGTACTAAAACGGCTGGACCGTTTCGGATGAAATATTGTATGTATATTTCAATGGGTTCCTGGATGGTTTGAAAACACAATTGGATCAGGCAGGTGGCACTCTTGTCGCACTAAATTTGTCATGTAATTAAATATTAAAATATAATAAATAACAATAATAATGATTAATTATTATTATTAGTAATTTAATATTATATTATATTTATTATTTTAATATTATTTATTTTAGCGTATATATATATATATATATATATATACATACACGAGCGTACACGAGCGTACACGAACCAAATTAACATTTATATATATATATATATATTTATATATCGCAGTCCCCGACGAACACTATGGTAATCGCTATTACGATAGAATCGGGTTTATTAGATATTCGTTATCTACACACCCTATTACAATCATTGAATTTTTTTTATGATCGGGCGATGAATACTTTTGGATTTATCCATTCAATAATGATCTTTATGTTTTTGTTCGACGTATAACATAAGTGAAAAATTTACACGATCAATAACGCAAAAACCTATTACCAAATCTCAAAAGTCAACATTTAAGAGTAAGCGGCTATTACCATATTGTTCGAGGGAAAAATGACAGAATCAGAATCAGAATTTATACATAGGTACCGAAATGGTTATAACACCTAAAAATGATCATCGAATAAGCATGTAATTTATGTTTACCGTAATATTAAAGTCAGTTATATCATCGAATACGATTGCAATGTCATTTTACGAATATAAAGTATATTCATATTTACCATGGAACAATATCATAATGAACGATTACTACAGCAACACCGATTTGTGATTACAGTCGAACACTATCGTAAAGTTAGTTTGCGTTAATTTTTTCCATAGCTTATTTCAGTAATGGACATTTTCACAATTTTCTTACTGATAAAGAAAATTTATGATAAAAATTTAGTAAAAATCTAGTGCAAAAAAATATTTCCTTATTTTTGATAAAAGAATCTTCTTTTTAGTCTTGATAGTATTCAAGATATTCAGTTTTTATTTGCTCCTGTAAAATTGTTATTTTTGCTATTACGATTTTGTTCGTCGGGGACTGCGATATATAAATGTTAATTTGGTTCGTGTACGCTTCAAAAATTCAGAAAGTTTTACACCGATTGAGCTCATAATTTGACACAATATACAGACGCGCTTTAAGGATTGCATTTATATATTATTTATATTTTGTTCTTTATTTCTCATCAGCGCAAATCTAATGTGTCACAGCAAAGCGTAGCAGAGTCCAGTATGTTAATTATTATAAAGTTATAGTTGAACATAAAGATCCGTGCGTCAGACAAAAAGTTTCTCTTTGACTTCGAGGCTTTGAACCCAAACAGAATGTAACAAACAATAACACGATATGTTTGCGTATCCGCATTGATTGTTTGATTGGTATTGTTTGGTTTCTACTGCAGTAAAATCCAATAGCTTGTTGATGTTTGATACCTTCTGTGTTGATATCTGTCAACTTCTCCTATCTACCTATAAGCTGTATTCTTTACGTTATTCTATACCTATATGCATTTAATTTGCGTCCGGGAGATTCTGTCTGTCTGTCTGTAGGCTCTCTGAAAATACTTCATACTTTAGGCTGATACAATAGACAGAATTGCAAAAGATTTATTTGGTTTTCTTTAATTTTTGTTGTTGGACCTCCCCACCTGGTTCACCACCTTTGGCCCACAGTGTTTTAAATTGCCCTGTACAATGATAAATGTTAGCACTGATGTTGTATGTGTGTAAAGACCTTATTTATATATTTTTAATTGGTCACACTTCACAATTCTACAAACATCACAACTCTACAAAAGTGGAGTTTATTCTAATTATATACCTTAAATTAATATGTAGACTGCTCTAAATTTACTACAATCAGATCCACCTCCTTTTAGAAAAAATATCATCAACATTCAAAAGAAATAACATATTTTTTCTGAACTTTGTGTACTATTTTCTATTATCTTCTATTCGTATTCTATTATTTTCTTCTAAAAAATCATACAATCCACAGTACAAAAGTCTCAGGTAGTCTTTTTATTCAGTAGGTACTTTGTTTTTGTATTCATAAACATTTCCTCTTACCGGTTCTTGTGGAAATTTAACCTCCGGTGTCCAGCGGGCCAGATCTTTGAGGTTAGTAGTTTCAAATTCTTCGCTGAAGATCAATTGTCCTTGGCATACGCTGCTTTTGCCTTGGACAAGCGTTCTTGATGGCATACAGTCAGGTACAGGATAGGTATCAGGAATGAGTGGACGTTCAGTAGAAGTGGACGTAGATGATGTAGGTGCTGGTGGGTTCTTTGTGTCTACTGGCTTTCCTTCTTCGTCTACAAACCCTAAAGAGAAAAATAAATAGAGTTAATATTATTACACACAATAAATGGTTTCTTGTAATAATATTTGACGGGCCTGGTGGTTAAATGATTAGTGACCCAGACTGCTAAGCCGTAGGTCGTGGGTTCGATTCCCACCCTGGACAGCAGTCTGGTTACCATAGCCCAGGATCTGCCTAGTTTGAAACCAGACGGCCGTGTGTAAATGTATAAAGCTATTAAAAAAAGTGAACCAGACTTCAGATAAACATACCTATATATTACTAAATACGTCTTATAAATAAATTATATCCAGACACAGAACAAATGGTCGTACTTATCAAACAATAACCTCTTATTTCATTATACTCGTATAAGTATCGAGAATAGAGAAGATAGTGGTATATACTACTGTAATGGATACTAAAAATAAAAGAAACAACACGTTTCCGTAACGGACCTGTAACGGTCCATTCTCCATCATCTTGTCTGTAACCTAACCCATTCTTGATCACGTACGTCCAAAAGTATATCTTGTCTCCAATTTTGAGTTCAACATTACGATCTCGGAATGTCCATCTTCCTTGTTTTGCTTTGGTGATATCACGAGCCCATTGGCCAGCCTCTAGCCCGTCCATTTCTTGATTGAGGTTGCCATGGAAAGCGAAAAGAGAAAACCCATCATCTGAAAAGAAAAAAGTGCTTCCATTTTTATTCTGATAGATGTTTTGGACAGTAGTGAAGACTTAAACTAGTCGAGTCAATGATAAGATGGTAATATTGTTTGTTAGTCACATCATCATCATCATCATCAACAGCCTATAATAGTCCACTGTCTGTATGTCCAGATAGGCCTCTCTTTAGAAAGGAGGTTTTGGCCTACTGTACCACGCTGGTCAGACGGGTTGATATATGGTTTGTTTCAAGTTTTCCTTCTCTTTGCAGTGCTGTTGCCTTGCATAGTTTGCTCCCTTAGTCGGCTCTTACAATACCCACGGGATGAATAGGGGTGGTAACATTCCGTATTCTTAATCCGTCACCACACGGAATTTTGTTTGTTAGTACCTACTAACAAACAAAATTCCCAGTACCTACTGGGAAATCTAAGCCGAAAGAATGAATAGAATTACTGTCTGTTTGTCTGCGAATAAAAATTCGACATATTGTACTTACATCAACAAAAGTAGAAACCCATACTTTCATGGTGTCGTAGTAGTCTACGATTATGATAATCCTTCTCTGTTTATCCTAGTCAATAATTAAATTGGTGTGTTGTGAACAAAAGAATCGTGTTATTACAAAGAGAAAGATCAATCAATCATTTAGATGGATAGGTAGATAGATAGAACTCTTTATTTGTACACAATTTTACAAAAAGTATGATACATAAAAGTGTCTGACATAGGTATAATGTACAAAGGGCGGCCTTATTGCTAAGAGCAATCTCTTCCAGGCAACCTTTCTTTTTTTTTCTTTTACACAGACAACTACCGCATTAGGAATAAGTATATCCTGTGTTGCGGGGGACTTTACAAACGTACATGAAACGGACATGAAGCGTGGCGACCGCTTAAACCACTACGCCAGCTGTGCAGTCATTAGTCAGCAGTCACAGTAGTAGTTGACGGTTTAATGAGTTTTTTAGGTTAACATATATATATATTATAATAAAAATACACATATATATACACACATACATATTTAAATACATATAAACAAATACTTATACATACCAGCAAATATACATACATAAATAACTACTTTTATTTCATAAAACACAAGTAAATACAAAAGTTTAAAATAAAATTTAACAAGACCGTTATGTTTCGTCAATAGGAATACGACACAATGAAAGTAAGTCGTTATTTCTGTTACAATAATAATTGAAAGTAAATAATTAATTGAAATAATAAAGTAATAAAAGTAAATAATAATTGAAATAATAAAGAAATAAAAGTAAATAATAATTGAACGTCTTGTCTCTGATTTTGCGAACATTTATTGACTCTACGTACTAATTACGAACAAGATAGTGATCGAAGTGCTAATTTTATACGGCAAACAGCAATAACAGTTGTCAACAGAAACTGTTTTTATGAACTGTGCACAGCTATTTAAAATGAGTATCTGCAAAAAATGAACTCACATTTTTTTTACCTTGTAAATTGAGCAAAAACCATGAAATCATATCAGCTTCCGTGACTCGCTACTAGGGTTGCCACATAGAAAAATTAAGAGAAATATTGGCAAGAAAAATGTAAAATTTATTAAAAAATTAACATGAAACTTTCTTATTGTACACCTCGATAAGTTTAGTGATTTATATTTCAGAATTGTATTTGTAATTTATATACAGGAACACGAGCTGTATAGATAGTTCAACTCAGTTGTGCGCGCGGCCCTATGTGTGCGTGGGCTTGTAAATATACAACTTTCATTCGTGTGGCAGTAACGCGGCAGTCGGACGACGACTGAGTTGAACTATCTATACCTAGGTATGTGCTTGTTTGTAATCTCTTGGCAACCCTGTTGACTACAGATCAGAAGATATGTTTTTTTTACCCTGCTGTTATCACTCATCTGTGGAGATTTCTTTCTAAAATGTATAGTATGATACGGTTCAATATCTTTGCACCACATATTTGATCTTTAAGTCATTGACCAGACATAACGCTTTTTAATTTTTTTGGAATTAATTTTTATTTTTCAAATGAAATGGATTGTGATCGCAGGTAAGGTTTTTTTGCATAGGTGTCATTAGCTTTAAACAACCTTCATTCGTTCTGATTCTTTTGATATTTTTTTGGGTGTTTGATAAATAATTATCCATTTTGTTAATGAATTGATGCTCCTTAAGGTTGTTTCAATTAATTTACGGAAATGCTTAAATTATAAGATGAAGATGGTTGTTACAATTTATGACTTAGTCGCCCTGAAGTAGTTGCTACATTTTTTAAAGTTAAATATATCAATTATTATTTTTTACCTTGAAATTTTAACTCATCATCATCATCAACAGCCAGTATACGCTAGGGGGGAAATGTTTTTCCCCTGCGATTGAGCCTTATTAAGCATGGTGTCAATTCGGGGAGGACCTGAAATAACATGGGTCGGCTCCTCCCAGAATAGGGCACTAAGGCTGACTCCCCGAGGAGTAGGAGATCCGCAGGAATTTTCCACCCCGTCAACAAAAAAAAAGTTATATTCGCTAATTATATAGGAAAAATTTCATGATGGTTAATTTAATGGTTAAGACGTAAGTGTCATAAACAAACAAGTAAATAAACTCATTAAGATTGGACATGTACCATTAATAATTGTAAGAACTTGTTTATTATAATAATAATATGATTGCTGCAATTGATATTTACCTACAAAACAGCTTAAACTTAAGAGACAGCTTAAGCAAAATACACATAAGCTCTATTAGAAATAAGACTTAAAATTAAATGTTCTTAATGTTATGATATCTAATAATTTATCTATTCTGCAATTTATTTTTGTGTTTGTTGTTATTTCAAATAATCAAATACATTTTACCTTACGAAATTCTTATTCCAGTTGTGATTCTGCACATCATTATTTATTTATTTTTTGACTGGGTCCGAATTTATTTTTATGATTGTTTTTAGTTTTATTTGTAAAACAAAATAATAATTAAAATTATATTAATATTGCCATATCCAATGCAATAACACCTTATTGTTAACCTGTAATTATTTGTTACACTGAATGATGTTTCCTTAGCCCGTAAGTTCTGTAAATTTGTATATTAGTGTTAATAATTATTGGGAAACCAAATAAATATCTTTGCTATACAAACTCATCGTCAATTTCGCTGTTTTCAAGTTTTATTTTGACGACATGAAAAAGTCTTATGTTATTCTTTCCCTTTCGCCTTATGTTATTTTATCGAAACCTGGTTTAAAGAAAAATAATTATGTTTTAAATGTTGGTTTTTGTTTTTCTCAACGTCCCGTGCATATTTCGACCAACATTCATTGAAATTAGTTTAGTAGTTCAGGCTTGAAAACCCTACAGATAGACAGACTCGCATTCGTAATATTAGAACAGAGGTAATATGAAAATAAAGGTGACTCACGCGGAATCACTAATACCTACTGCTAATACGTAAAATTCCTGTCATTAAAGATTATAAAGTTTTCCAACCATTAATTTAAATTCTTTAGTATCATTTTATTTAAAGACAATTAATATTCTCTACCAGTGCAAGTGTGTCGGTTTAGTAACCAAGATTAATATTACATCTCTTTGGCATTACCAAGCCAGTCAATTGATTTAAATCATCAGAAAGGGCGGATGTAATGTTTCTCTATTTTTTAATCAACATCATATTTTTAAATTCATGTCATTAATAATTCTAGATTTTTTTTGGGGATAAAATTGTCGAATCAAAATGGATGCACTTTGAAACAGTCCTTTTTGTGAACGAAAGGTACCCTAAGTCCCCTTCTGTAGCTTTGACATCATGTATTTTTATTTATTTTAACACGATACGATGTAAAAACTATAGAGGAAAGGCTTATAATGACCCTTCATACAAAGGGAGGATAAAAGGTCTTGCTATTAGGACCATGGACCTATGTAAATTTTACACGGATGGCGTAGTGGTTTAAGTGGTCGCCACGCCGCTCACTGCTACGCTGAGTGTTGTGGGTCCGATCCCCGCATGGGACGATACTTTGTGTTATCCACAAATTGTTGTTCTGAGTCTGGGTGTTCTTTGTGACGGTAAAAATTTGTGCCCGTTCGGGCAAAATTTTATAGGGTTTCTCTGGGAGAAAAAAATAGCCTAGGTTACTACTTATATAGACAGCAAGAAAGAAATGAAGAAATGCAACTGCTAAATGCAATATCTTCCAGGCAACCTTAAAATGGATCAAAATGTTTCAGAGAGACATTGAGTAATAGTTGAAGGCTTATTAGAAATTGACTGTTATTGCTGATAACTATATAGGTAAAAAAGAATGAGTGAGACCAGCACAAAAAAATGCGTTACCGTTAACCAGGGGTCAACAACCATGGGTTAATGTAACATCTAATATGATGGATGACCACCATTAGCTTTGGCACAATACTTTTCTATCCACATATAAGTACTGAACGTATACGACTGCCTCGGTGATGCAGCGGTAGCGGTGCTGAGGTCTCTTGTTCGATTCCCGGTTCGGAGTTTGGGTGTTTTCTATGTATTTGTAAAAAAAAAAAAAATATAACTATTCTATCAGTCACTCTAGCTTTCATCATACAAGCTCTGCTTAGTTTGAAACTAGATGGCGTTGGGTGTCAGATGTTCGAAAATATTATTAATAAAATATATTACGAGTATTACTTGCCCTGACTGATTGTTTCAGCAACGTAGAGCCTCAATTGATGGGGTATCAAACTAAAAATGTAGGTAGCTAATGCTTTTAATGTTGTAAACACCCACTAAGAAAGATTAATAAGTCTTAATAACAGAAGTTCCCGGACCTCTCATATCACAGGCGCAGAGTGGCACAGTGGTTTCAGTCGGTCCGATTCCGACACACCACCCCGCCGAAAACCCCGGTGAGGTGACGGCCCGAGGCGGCTTCCACACGCCACGCCAAAAGCCGGAGACCACAAAAGGTGCAACCAGGGCCTCAATTCTGCTATTTTATTATTGTATCAATAGACTATCGGTGGAATGTCGTCGGAATAGTTTTGCACTTTTCCTATTCTACTATGTTAGGTAACAGTTTGGTAAACGGTACATTTTAAATTTGTAAGAAAATGATGTATTTAACTTTCAAGGTATGGCAATGTTGTTAATATCACCATTGATGACCTACGTTACTATATAGATAGTCTGTCTGATAGTTGACACTGTGAGTTTATGCTAGTAGAATATCGAGATTTTGACCGATGTCAATAGCGCCTCAATGGCATCTCAATAGCTTGTCAATGGAATGACAGTGGCTTGACGTTAACATAAAAAGCGAATAATTGTCGAAACCTCAAGCATTCAAACAAATAATCAATAAGTAGAAAATCATAAATCGTTTTTTGTTATTAAAAAGCCGCTAAAACTAAAATAGCATTATTTACTGGTATTTTCAACTGGTTTTATGTAAGAGATTTGATTATTATTTTATTTCACTAAGTTCCGTTAATATTCCGGTTGAAATACACATCTCAAGACATTATGGCTTTTAAATCACTTATTATTTTATATACAGTTTTAATCGTATATACAGTTATACGATAAAATGTAGCTTATATTTTTAAATCAGTGTTAAAACTATAAACCAAATAAGAATCATGTTTAAACTTTCACGTAGAATTCCGTAGGTTATAGGATTTTGTGCATACACTTTTTCTATATTTATGTACCTACAATATAAATGAATCAGCATGCAGGTAATGTTACACGGAAACATAAGTATGATCTAATTTTAAATGGAAAACACACCGCGGTAACCGCAAAACAAAGAATGTCTGACATCAACTAACACGTGAAAATTGTCTCTTTTTTTTTTTTTTTTTAAAGACTAACTTAATAGCAAACAATCGACCGACTGATACATCAACGCTAAGCTAACCCGGTAAGTAAGTGCTAATTATAGCGTGAGAACTGGCGATAAAAATGCGCAATGGCCCATTACTCAATATTTTCACTATTGGAGGCTTTGTATAAATCAGCACACATCCGCAGGATTAGGTAGAGGACCGCATCAATTATTTAGTTATCTCATGACATCATCATCATCATTAACAGCCTTCAATAGTCCACTGCTGGACATAGGCCTCTCCTCAGAAAGGAGGTTTTGGCCTACAATACCACGCTGGCCAGACGGGTTGGTATAGGATTTGTTTCAAGTTTCCCTTCTCTTTGCAGTGCTGTTGTCTTGCGTAGTTTTCTCCCTTAGTCGACTTTTACGACACCTACGGGATGAATAGGGGTGGTGACATTACATATTCTTAATCCGTCACCACACGGATAATTTTGTAAGTTACCACTAAGAAAGGATTTTTGAAAATTGCAGCCCTAAGGGATAAAGGGTAAAACCATGGAAATGGAAATTTTTAAAATTAGATACAAAAAATAAGTCAATCAGAGGTTAGGGGAATAAGTAGATGTTTTATAAAACCAAATCATTGAAAAGGAATAAACTCGTTCTTTGTACCAAAAACATGTGTAGCCAAAACTGTGCTGCTTTGGCATTCTCTACTCCAAGTATCTTATCAAATTTTTGGAAATATTCTCTTACTCTTCTATGAAAGTAATTTTTGAGCTCTCGAAGCGTGACGGAAAGGATTTCGCTGTCGTAGGCGTCGTCCAAGCTCATAAAAATGTTTGCATTGTAATTACTCATTTTTATTACAATTAGGATGAGCAATACCACATGTCAAAGCGGAAAAAACATAATAATATATGCTGATAAAAATAAATTGCCACGTGTATAGCATGCTGTGCTTTGTTTATTTTTATGATCCTAATTGTATGGACGAGGTTTCTATGAAAGATTGTCTTTTGGAAAATCAATACCAAAGATAATCTCATACTCAATGAAGTTTTTAATTGATTTTTATTTTTCTTAAGACTTTTTTATTTCCTTACGTTTTTTTTTGTGATTAGCCAATCTATACCATAGTATAGTAAGTAAAGAGAAACAAGGTTACTAGAAAGTGAACTGTCTCTGCCTTTAAATCGACTTATTTTTTATTCTAACCATAAAACATTTTTGGCAATAATAAAGTATTTTGGTTACTTATATGTTATGCTCAGACAAGATGGTGTTTAGTACATGAGAACAGTCTAATATCACTATAATTTGACATTTGAAAGATAGGAGGCAATAAAGAAATTTACAAACAAATATAAAAGATACACGCGAGATACAGAACCAGAAAGAGACTGATATCTTTTAAATGTTTTTTTAGACATTAGATCATTGCAATAAGCATTATAAGAACTAACTTTAAACCTTATTTTTAAATGGTTTTGTGTGTGTTTGGTGTTTTGGACGTTAAATTACAATAATTTGTTAATAAATATGTAAATGACGTCTTTTCAAAACAACTGCCAGTCGTCATAACCAAGCTCCTGTAATTTAATTAATTTGTTTTTCGTTATACCATTTAAAATGTTAAGGATTTTTAATTTTATGTCAGTAGGTTTAACTTTTTTTAAATTGCATGACCATGAAACAGTTGATTTTGTTTTTATTTCTTTATAAAATAATAGTTATCAAATATTCATTGTTCATATTCGTACCATATTTGATATTTTTTTTAATAAGTGCATACATATACTCGTATACAAAGTAATATATTATATTTTTCGCATCTCACACTCTGCCGTCTGATCCCAAATACTGATAAACATACATACATATTTCTAAACACATACATTTCTTTGTCCTAGTTGGGAATCGAACCCACGACCTCTGGCTTAGCAGTTATTTTCACCACTAGACCAACAGGCGCATTTAACGACAGCGTTTGCTAAAGAGACAAGGTCAATTGCCTTCAAGTACGTAAAAAACTTAATTGTATTGAGAGCAACTCAGAATATTACTAACAGTATTAAACCGAACTAGCTTATTATTGGCTGGGAACGTATTATAGTAACTTCCATTCTGATGGCGAAGCATTCATAACCTAAAAAGTTAAAGTTCTTGGCGAATACATGCATATATTGTCATACAAACGAACTTATGTCTACTGTTAATATTATGTAACAAAAATGTAGTTAAAACTTACAAAAACATGCTTTATAATATAAAATGTCATTAATAAAATCTATACAAATAAATAAAATTCTTTGTAATGTCAAATTAATAGGTTATTTTAATGCTCACACGGTTATTTGGTAGCTACCTATATAAGTATTAACTTAGGCTATTTTTTTCCTCTTATAAAAACCCTATAAAATTTGGCCTGGTCCGGGAATCGAACCCGAGGCCTCATGCACTTCTGTCGCGTACCGTACTACACCACCAAGCCAGCGCTTTTCAAATTAATGTAAGGAGATGCATCTCGTGCATGTTTTGCACGGATGGTATAGTGGTTTAAGCGGTCACCTTGCCGCTTCCTACTGATGTCTGTCTGTCTGATACGGACACATAAACATGGTTCTGTTTCGATCGAACGATCAGTCGAAACGCTCGATAACCGAATAGATGAAGTTCAAAAGCAATTAAATGTCTTTTTTTTTTAATTACAATTACATTTTTTTTTGTTTTATAATTCAAAAGAGCGTATTTCACGGGGCGGAATAATTCCATAATTATCAGTACCTTTTAAAACATCGTGGCATGGTTGGCATGATGCTTTGAGAAGCTTGCTGGTGTAACAGGAAGAAGCTATCAACAATTTTCAACGACAACAATTAAAGAAGTAATTCGTTGTAAACTTGGCATTGGGTTATTATATTCGCACGTTAAAAAACGTAATTGTGGATTTCCCCGTGTCACTCTTCTTGGAAAATAATAACAATGGAATTTTAGCAATGCAGTTGTTTTAGGCAGTTTGCTTCGTATTTTAACCGACATAAAAAGGTTGATCGGTTACTCTGTTGGTGTATCTCAGAGCTTCGTGATATATGAAGCGACTTGGATTTTTTTTATTTGTTGTAAACTAGAAAGTATAGTTTCAAATAAATTTAAGGAAAAAATCACGGCCACTGATGGAATGAAATCGTATTCTTTGTTCCTTAATTTTTATTCCTGAGTATGAATAATTTAATTACAATTAATCATGGTCTAGTAGCATCAAAGTTGGTGATATTTTTTTAAAGTTATTTGTTTAAATTAGGTTGAAGTTCATTTTAAATAAATAATACAGCAACAAAATAACAGTCATCACCCCTATTCATCCCGTGGGGGTTCTAAAAGCCGACTAAGGGAGCAACTGCGCAGGCCAACAGTACTGCAAAGAGAAGGAAAAACTTGAAACGAACCCTATACCAGCCCGTCTAGCCAGCGTGGTATAGTAGGCCAAAACCTCCTTTCTAAGGAAAGGCCTATGTCCAGCAGTGGACTAGTAAAGGCTGTTGATGATTATGATCATTTGAACCTGTGTGAAAATTTGTTTCGTAAACATTGCCATTATTCGTGAGTGAGGATTATCACTTACCATCTACTATGGTCCATTAACTATCACTAAGGTTATAGGTAGGTATAAAACGGTTTATCATCGCAATAAAGAAAAAAAATATTGCCATCAGTTTAAGGGTGGTTAAAACCCATTTCTATTTGTCAAAATAATCATTGTCTATTCAAATTCAATTTCATTTATTACCAAAAAGAAAAGTACAAAATATGTGATACATTGCCGGTGGCCCCACACTAGGCAATTGCATGTAAACAAAGCCTTAGTCTAGTAAATAACCTTTGTTATGATAAATAAATACACAATAAACTACCAGATGAAGGTAAATAAAAATAAAAAAATCTTCATACCTGGTACGGATACTCTCAATCCTTTAGGGTAGATGGCCTCAAGTTTTGCATCAGGCACTTTGTATCCTCGAAGTTGGGCAGAGCATAACGCGATTACCGCGAATATACACAAATACGGCGTCATGACATCTACGCCTGACAGCTGCCACCGTCGTACTGGCGACGGCGTAAGTAATCAAAAGATGTGCGCAAGAGCAACTGTGAAGAGCTTCGAATAAATAGAGAAGGCGTGTGATTTTTTTCTCAAAATCATTTTTTTCTCGGAGAGTGTTGATTGTCAAACTGCAAAAAGATTAAAATTACTATTAATTAATGTAAAAACATGTTTTATCTAATTGAAAACAAAAAATCAAATGCTTTTGTTTATTACTTATTATTTTTCAATTTATGTTTGTTTGTTATAAAGCATAAATTAGAAAAAGAAAACTCCAGTTGACAAGCTTTTAGTCTCTTTTATATGTATGTTAATTACCTCATTTTCAAGTTTTAAATCAGTACTGGGAAAACTGGAGGCCAAATTTATAATTAGTAAATCTTAAGGTATCAAATAAACAATTTAACTATTTTCTATTAGACCTATGCTATGTAGCCTTTGTTCATATTATCATAAATAATTGTGTTAATTGCAACAATCAGTGTGTATGGAATTGTTTTGAAATATGTTGGAATAATGTTAATGAACAATAAAACTCTACTATGTATGCGGAAATCACAATTCATAACTACTTTGAAAATATGCACGGTCATCATCATCATGATCAGTCTACAAATAAGAGAAATAAAGAAATAATTATCCTTATTTATTTTTATTATTTGCTTTTATTGCCTTGGTTTTACATTGACCTTTTAAATCGGATATTTTTTTCTTTAATGATGGAAAGTTCTTTAATAACAAAGTGTTAAATTTTCTTAAACTATTTTATTTGTATTATTTGGAAATTTTGATATTTGGATTCAGCACTAAATAGACCCACGATTACGTTCATTTTTGTTCCATGCAACCACTATTTTTGTTTTATTTATAATTTTCGGGTTTTCTGAAATTTAATTTGTTCCAAACAAACCCAAATTTATAAAAAAACTATAGGTATACGAGTCTTCATTGATATTTATATGTGACCTTCTCAAATGGTTATCGTGTTGTCGACCTACAAATTACCTAAGCAAGCGCCGTAAATAAAGAAGGCATTGTTATGTAATTAATTGTGTGTAATCGACTGCACGGATGGCGTAGTGGTTTAAGCGGTCGCCACGCCGCTCACCACTGCGTTGAGTGTTGTGGGTTCGATCCCCACATAGAACGACACTTTGTGTGATCCACATATTGTTGTTCTGAGTCTGGGTGTTCTTTGTGTCCGTTTCATGTATGTATGTAAGGTCCCCCGCGACACAGGATATATTCCTAATGCGGGAGTTGTCTTTAAAAAAAAAATGTTTTGTGTATGTTTATGTTTTGTGTTACATTACTAGTAAAATTACGAGTATGTTGTTTTTTTTTAATAGTACTCTTTTTAGCAAAACACTTTGTTATGTTTTTAGTTAAACGATAAATCGTATAGTGTTCATAATTCAGTTCGGTTATTGCGTCAACATTTTCAACTGGGGAATACATTTCGTGCATGTTTTTTTATTATATAAGACAACTCCCGCGCGGGGAACTTTACAAACACACATGAAATGGACACAAAGAACACCCAGACTCAGAACAACAATTTGTGGATCGCACAAAGTGTCGTCCCATGTGGGGATTGGACCCACAACACTCAATGTATATAGGCCATACGCCATCCGTGCAGTCAAATTTAAATTAAAATTATCACTATATGATAGTTAGGGCTATAACTGGCAAAGCATCAAGAGTTATCTGGAAGTATATACAAACTTTAAAATTTTGTAACTATCAAAGCTTCGATTTCAAAAGCCAGAACTTAAATTGCATTTGTAGTTTAGAAAACACAAGTTTACGTAATAAACCCCTATATCCTATTTAGAAGAATGCTATTCTCTGTAACTAATTGTGAATTAGCCGAGTGTAAACAGTTCGTATGTCTATGTTGACGCGTTAATAACCTACAACGGGTAAGTTGTTGCGGGCCAAGGAACTTGCCCGAACATAAACATCTCAAAATAATTATGTTGAGATAGGTAGGACCTTAACTGGAAAGCCCTTCTACCGTCTTCTGTGCTGAGGAGGATAAAGTGATTCAGGCAAAATTGCAATTTCTTCTTTTTCTTTCTTTTGCCAATTCATCATTCAATTCACTGCTCTCTTTTAAAAGAAGGTTTTGGCCTAGTATAAAAAGCTGGCCAGGTTGGTATTTCAAGTTTGCTCCCTTAATTAAATTAGCTTGTCTTTCATTAAGAGTCGATAGGTAAGCTGACAAACGCGATGAAATGGTTTCAAACTGAGTTATAGGTTTCATGTCAAATTACCATTGTCAGGGTACTTACTTATTACGTTTACGGGAAAAGTAATTTAGGGGAAAACCTGCCTTTTTAATGAATTTCTGGCAATACAGATTAACAGTTAATTAGAATGGTAAATGTCGGTCTAGTGGTTAGTGACCCTGACTGCTAAACTGGAGGTCGTGGGTTCGATTCCCACCCAGGACAAATATTGTGTAATGAGCACGGTCATTTGTTTTGTATCTAGGTATAATGTATCTATAATATTTATGTATTTTTATCAGGAGTCTGGTTACCATAGTACAGGCTCTGCCTGCCATATTAAAAAATATTCTCTGTACAATTTACTGACAAAGAGTTATAGAGTAAGAGATCATACTGGGTTCATAATTAGATCATCGATATCATAAATATAATAACAAGAAAATTAACCTAACCAGCATTTCAAATTTCAACTCCATATGATAAATATTGTTTTTGGAAATCGGTTATAAACAAGCGACCTACGAAAAGTATTATTATTAACTCATGAAAAAACCATTGCTAAAGTAACCATTAAAATCAACTAGGAAACCTTTGGAAAGTCAGAATTTATTATGGGACGGTTGGACCATAGTAATATCATGGCCTCACAGAAAACCGGCTATACATTCCAACAAGGGAGTGATTATAGCGCAGATGCAAAATCCTCTAACCCCGGCTGGTGACGGCATTGTGGATTCTAGATTTCAGTTCACATGAGCGCCGGTCGTCACTCACCATTAGGTAAGCCGTCTGTTTCTTTGTTCCCAAACCATGAAATAACCTTAATATCAATTTTAACTTAATTACTGTTACGAGCCAGATCATTACAAATCCATCAACAAATCGAAAATGCAATTATTGTCATAACTAATGACAAAGTGCAAGGTTCTCAGTAAGTAATATACAACTAGCCCAGTCATATTAGGGCTTTCACCTCGGAATGAAAGATAATAAGCTGCAAATTGGTATGAACCTTTGTTTTGTCATTCTAAATGTTGTCTCAAAAGTCACAATCGTTATCGTGTCCGCGTCTCAAGATATTCAAGGTCAAAGGTCACAAAAATCGGTTTTTCGCGAATATCTGGCTTCCTATCGGTTAAATGAGATTTGCATTTATTATAAAAGTTGTAGGCTATAAAATTCCCTACAACTTTTGTTTAAACTTTTTTTTCATACGACCAACCGTTTTGAAGGTAGAGCGCGAAGAGTGCACATCGTACAGTCATATACGGCCTAATGCAAGGTCAAGCGTGAGTTATGGTTATCAGTACGTTATAAAGTCAATTATTTACTTGGAAATTATAATTATTAAACAATGCCTATTATTTATGTACTAACTATTAATTATTTATATTTAATTAAAGTAAGTAACTTGATTATTTATATATAATTATTCATATTTAACTATTTAAGTATAAAATATTATTAATTCTGGATTATATATTTTAGTTTTATTTTAAGTTAAAATGATAGTAAGAGTATATATTTTACACATATTTTTATTTAAATATTAAATACGGCATAATATACATTTATCAAAATGTGAGTTCAAATATCAAAAGTATCTTTGTTGATTTTAATTGTAATGAAATTGGAAATGGAAGCTAATTATCTTCTTCTTGTTCGTCGTCTTCTTCTTCTTGTCGCTCAAAAATGTTCGATTCATTGTCATCATCCTCATTATCTGTCATGTTCATCTCCAAACCTTCCAGAATATCGGGAGCATATGTATTTTCTTCATCGGGATTACTTGGATACAGTGAAGCGTTGAGGCAAGCTTGTCCGTTGCACTGGCCGCAAGCTAAAGAACATTGTAGCCCTGATTTTCTGCATCCACAGCGGGAACCACAACCATTTTTGCAATTGCAAAATATTACGTTTAGTAGTTCGGCTGGTGCTGGAGGTAATAACGTTCGTATGGGCTCCAGGATTTCATTTTCAAGCATCCAGCCCCATTCTTGAGGTTCTAAGTCCTTCCCTAACCACGTTTGAATCTGGTAGTAGACACGTTTTATGTGTTGATGAGCTGCTACACTTGTTGGTGGAAGTGTTGACAGTTGTACAGGTTTATTTAGTTTTGTAAATTTGATGAATTGCGTGTAGCGGAAATGATCAATGTTGTCCTCAGATTTTGGAGCATTATATAATGCCAACAAGATGCGCACTCCATTTTCTAATAATGTTTGTTTTGGGCAGTTTTCTTGTTGAAATACTTCCACCAGTTTATCTAAATCAGTTAACTTAAAACTTAAAATAAAACTAAAATATATAATCCAGAATTAATAATATTTTATACTTAAATAGTTAAATATGAATAATTATATATAAATAATCAAGTTACTTACTTTAATTAAATATAAATAATTAATAGTTAGTACATAAATAATAGGCATTGTTTAATAATTATAATTTCCAAGTAAATAATTGACTTTATAACGTACTGATAACCATAACTCACGCTTGACCTTGCATTAGGCCGTATATGACTGTACGATGTGCACTCTTCGCGCTCTACCTTCAAAACGGTTGGTCGTATGAAAAAAAAGTTTAAACAAAAGTTGTAGGGAATTTTATAGCCTACAACTTTTATAATAAATGCAAATCTCATTTAACCGATAGGAAGCCAGATATTCGCGAAAAACCGATTTTTGTGACCTTTGACCTTGAATATCTTGAGACGCGGACACGATAACG